AACAAATACAATAGATAATATGAAAAATGATAAAACTTTAAAAAGGAAATAAAATCCATGATTAAATAAAATAAGCTGTATTTATCAATGGTTTATAATAAAGAATTTATTTTCACCCCAAATATTTGATTCGATGTAATAAAGTTAGAATAGAACCATAATTTTTTAAAAGATTTTATTTATTTATTTGACAGACAGAGATCACAAGTAGGCAGAGAGGCAGGCAGAGAGAGAGGGAAGCAGGCTTCCTGCTGAACAGAGAGCCCGATGCGGGGCTTGATCCCAGGACCCCAAGATCATGACCTGAACCAAAATTAAGAGTTGGATGCTTAACCGACTGAGCCAGGTGCCCTGGAAGTGAAATTTTTCAAAGGGAAATAAGAACTCTCTCTCTCTCTCTCTCTCTCTCTTTTTTTTTTTTTTTGCAGGAAGAAATGAACAAGGGAAGATATGGAAAAAGTAATATTCCACGACATTGTCTAAAGTTTGTTAAGGGAGGAAAAATCCAAACAAATTGAAGAGGGATATGGAGGTTCCAGAAGCAAGCCCTTGTATATATGGAAGTTTAGTATTTGATAAATTTAGCATTTCAAGTAAGTTGGAAAGTGATTATTTAAAATTGAGGAGAATATATTGCATCTTTTAAAAATTGACTAATGTCTGCATTCAGAAAAAGTTTTATTTTATTTATTTTTATTTTTTAAAAAGATTTTATTTATTTATTTGATAGAGAGAGAGACAGCGAGAGAAGGAATACAAGCAGGGGGGGGTGGGAGAGGGAGAAGCAGTCTTCCAGCTGAGGGGGGAGCCTGATGGGGGGCTGGACCCCAGGACCCCGGAATCATGACCTGAGCCGAAGGCAGACGTTTAATGACTGAGCCACCCAGGCGCCCCCAGAAAAAGTTTTAAAACTAAAATTTAAATTTAACAACTTTACTAAAATAGTTCAAATACAACATGGAAAAATCATGTATAAGTTAGATTTTTTCACCCAAATGTGAATCTTTATACTGTCAGTTGATCAGACAAAACATAGAAGGTACATAAAGGGTGGTCTAAAAAGTTCTTAGTTAGGAAATGAGTTTTCCAGGGTAGAGGAGTGGCTGAAGCAATAGGGTACATACTTACTGTGTATTCAGTGGTGGAAGACATAGCTAGCTATAGCAGCAAATCCTCAAGGATAGTGTTAATAGGAGATGGAACACCAACCATGAGTCTTGATCTTTGAAGATAGGTGTAGACAGGGACTCTTAAAAAGGGAGGGGATAATCTGTTGATAGAGGCAAAATAGTTTTGATTGTTTCCTAATATTTGAATGAAAAAACATATAATGTTATATATCTGAGTGGTTTATTGTTCAAAAGCCTAAAAATGTGTTGGAGACTTAAGAGAGAAAACCTGAATGCCTATTTCCCCTGGGGCCCATTTTAATCCATAAAGCTCTTAAAGAGTAACTGGAGTGGAGGCTTCAGGGGACTTCTTGGACAACACCACCAGAGGGAATGCAGACCCCCAGTTCTGCTCTCAAGATCCAGCACAGGGGAGCATCTGCATAGACCTCCAGCCAGGGAGGGAACAAGATGACACCTTGAGGGGTGGGATGTGGGTAGAGGTGCTTGGTACCAGGAACTCATCTTTCCATCCTGCCAGCCATGACCTGGGGTATGGATGTGACAGATTGCCAGGTTTCCTACATCTAGCAACCTGTTGCTGCCCAGGAAGGTACCCCTCCTCGTTTCCTGCCTTCCCCCCCCCTTCCCCCCACCCCACATAGGAAGGGGTAAGGGGTGTGGGACTGCCCTGGTGGGATCACAGTTGTGGCTTGGCCTGGACTGACCTGTCCTGGGATGGCCTGTGTTACCTTAGGGTACCCTGTGGTGAATGGCCAGAGGTGTTAGAAATAAGGGTTGAGCCAATGTTGACGGCTACTGATAAGGCTCTCACTCTTGGGTCTCCTGAGGCCAGAGCCTCGGAAAATAGGGATACAATAGGATTGAATGTTGCTCTGTTGAGCGTCTCTGGTCAAGTGAGTTGGATGAGGGGCTGTCTCTAGAATGTGGGTGCCTGATGATCAGAATTCTGTTGGATTCTGTCACCAATGAAGTTAGGTCACTTTTTCAAAGCTCCATTTCCTGAACCCCTTCTGTCATTGACACCACCCAAATTCTCCACTAGACTGTTGACTGTTCCCCCTCCTTGGCCATGTCATCTCCATAACTACACAAATGTCCACCCCACCACTGACTGGGAATGTAACCAGGGCCCCAGCTTGGAGGAGTCAGAGCTGAGTTCAGTCATCTTTTTTCTCTGTCAGTTCCCTGTTCTGGAAAAGCCTTTGTGCCACTGAGGTCTCTCCAGTCTCCCAACTTGCACAATGTGGTATGAACTTGTATGAACATCCTTTGAACTAGTATGAACTAGTAACTACTTCCCTCTGACATCACCAGGTGTACATGAGATTATATCTGCAACACCGGTGGGGTGATGACATATGTATCTGATGAAGAAACTAAGAGGTGAGAATTACAAGAAGGGGATAGAGCACAGGATACCACTCAAAACAGGCTTGGGGTCCAGCTCTATCATTTACTAGATGTTCGACTTTGGACAAATTACTTACCTTGTCTGTGCCTCAGTTTCTCTGTCATTGGCAATAACAAGTGTACCTACTTTGTAAGGTCATGGAGAGTTATTAAAGGGGTTAGTGTTTGAAAATGCTTTGAACACCTAACGTATCTCAAGTGTTGTATCTGTATATTATAAACAAAATTTACAAATTCTTCTGGCAGAAGAAGCTCCAGAGGGCAAGAACTAGTGCCTTGATGTAAATAGAAATTACTCCACAACAGAGGGTAGATATATGAATGAATAATGTTTGTGAATGCATTACCTGTGTCACACATCCTCTGACCGATATTCCCAAGCAAAATCATACCCAAACATACCTGCTCTGTCTGGCATCCTTTTCTTTGATTCTATCCAGGAATCACTGGGGTTTCTTGGACCTTGTTAACCTTGCACACTATAGATTTTCTTCTCTGTGTCAGCAGATCCTAGTCCATGTCCAATCCCTGCAGCTCCCAGGGCCTGCACCCTGATCCTTCTCTTCACCTGGGAGAGAAGGGTCACCCCCAGAGCTTGGCACATGGAGCATGAACCTTGGAGAAAATGTTTCCTTACCCTGTAGCAGATAGAATGCAGTGGTGGGGTGGGTTGTTGGGAAAAATCCTCCAGCTGTTGTCAGAGGGATGGAGCCAGGGGATTTGCCAGCAACAGCTGGTCTGGTTGACGGGCCTTGGTGGTTAAATAGTTGGGAGGGCTGGCATGTTTCAGAAGGCCTAAGGTAATAGGATCAATATCATGGACATGCAATCAGAATCAGCCCAATGAGGCCATGTTAATCCAATCTCTTCTGTTCCCTGACTGACTCACAAATCCGGTAGTGATTTGATAATAATGATATTTGTGTTCTATCGTCTTTTCATTTATTGGGCAGAGTGATTATTAGTTACATTTCCTGTGTATTTTTAAAATGACTTTCCCTGAAATTGTTTCCCAAACAAATTGAATTTATAATAGAACCCAAGGATGGGCAACTCACAAAAAAAATCTTGATGCATAATCTCTGGTTTGGCTCTTTCTAACTGGTAAATTTTATGGACTTCTGAATTCTCTCTTGAGATCAAGTCTAGTTTGGACTCTGTGGGAGTGTGACCTCATGGCATTTGAGAAGTAATGGTGGTATTCTGGGATGACGTGTACTTGAGTGTGTGTGTGTGATGAATCTGCTGTGGCGTTGAAGTAGACTCTTCTTGGGAGAATTTCCCCAGACATTTTGCTTTGGGCTTTATTTTTATACACGGTTTTATCAGTGCTGTCAATAGGACCACTAAACACTCTATAACATGAATTTTTTTTAATTTAGTAGCCACCTTTAAAAAGATTTTAAAAAGGTGGGGACGCCTGGGTGGCTCAGTTGGTTAAGCAGCTGCCTTCGGCTCAGGTCATGATCCCAGCGTCCTGGGATCGAGTCCCACATCGGGCTCCTTGCTCATCAGGGAGCCTGCTTCTCCCTCTGCCTCTGCCTGCCATTCTGTCTGCCTGTGCTTGCTCTCTCTCCCTCTCTCTCTCTGACAAATAATTAAATAAAATCTTAAAAAAAAAGATTTTAAAAAGGTGTAAAATGAATTTTAATAGTATATTTAAAAAAATTATAACCAAGATATTTTTACCTGTGCTTGCAATCAATGTAAAAATTAATAGAGATAGTTTATGTTTTTCATGTGTGCTGAATATCAGAAATTCAGCATTTATAACGCAGTCTCATTTTTTAAGTTGAATCTTGTCGGATGTATCTGCTTTGTATTTAGATTGTATAGAAGTTTTCAACTTAAAGATCTTGTCATGTGAATACTGAAAAGTTCCTCCTGGGTCTAGTAACAAAGGAGTCATTGTGACCTTAACAGGGAAGAACCCACAGAATGGTGAGAGCAGATGGAAGAGTCGGGCGGTCTGAGGAGGTGCTTGAAGATGAGGCCCCAGAGGCACAGGATGGAGATGATCTTTTCTCCATGACTCACAATGAAAGGGAAGGAGTAGAAAGAGCCATTTCTCTGTGAAGTATCAGGCAAGTTAAGGGAACTTGGATATGTATGATGTAAAAAGAAAAGTAGGGAATGTTTGAAACAAGTTTTGTGAAAAGCCAAGGAGTAAGTATGCTGACACATAAAAATCAGAGTAAAATTCCAGGCATTATGGATGCTTTGCAGTGGAAGCGGTTGATTCTGGATTTATAGTGATTACCAAAGTATGTGTGCTCTCCTCACCAGTTATCCTAAGACTAGCAATAGCTATGGCATGGTGGATAACCAGGGTCTTCCAGATTTGAAATTTTACAAGGCAGATACGATACATGTTAAGGAATTCTGGATTATTCCAAGGGAATTATTGAGATCATAGACCATGGAATCCAGGATTGATAGGAATAGGAGAGAAAGTAAGGTGAGGATATGGTGATCTGGCATCACTTCCAATCTCAAGGAACAGGTAACATTGTATAAGGTAATTATTGTAGAAGTATACAATATTGCATATTGTATTTTTTGAGTGAAAACTGAAAATCAGGAATTTGTAGTAGGTGAATATGTTTTCTGAATTATTTATTTTTGACCATGACATTGTTGGTTGATGTGAATGTCTGGGATATGGGAGTGAGTTGCTAAGAGTGGGGCAGATGATAATTACACTATTGGTTTAAGCTCTGAACACCAAGTGGTCAGCAGGTAGACCAAATGAATAGTCACCTAACACAGACGGGTGGTGGGGCTGGAGATTTAGAAAAACACTGGGCACTGTGGATCTAGGGGTGGGGGGGAAGAACAGGAATTGTATGGTTAAGAGTGACAAGGACAAGTGAGAATAAATCATAAAAGAGAGGATCTTGTGGCTCCGTGGGTTAAAGCCTCTGCCTTCAGCTCAGGTCATGATCTCAGGGTCCTGGGATCAAGCCCCGCATTAGGCTCTCTGCTCAGCAGGGAGCCTGCTTCCTCCCTCTTTCTGCCTGCCTCTCTGCCTACTTGTGATTCTGTCAAATAAATAAATAAAATCTTTAACAACAACAACAACAACAAAAAGATGGTGAAGGGGAAATGATCTGGGGTAGGTCCTGAATTTTGATCTTGAACTTTCTGGTTTTCACTCAAATCTATTTGAGGCATTCTCAGGACACAGGTCACATCTATCCCCAGAAGTAGAGAAGGAAGGTAGAAGTAGAAGATAACCAATACGGTGTTCCTAAGAAGGCAGCCTTTTAAAACATTTTAAACCAATCTCATGATTTATGTTTATAGGGTAAAAGGAAAAGAAGTATGATGGTCAAGACTCCACAGAGGAAGCAGCAGGATTGTGGAAACCAATCCAAACCAATGTCTTGCTTAAGTGTCTCAATCCCTTTGAGGATGTCCAGTCACATATTCAAGAGGCCAGTAACCAGAATCGCATCCTATCCTGTAAATGAGGTCAGATGCCATCATTGGGAGGAAACCCTGGACAAGCCCCAGCAGATGTGCTGGCAGAAGAGGCTGCAAGGTCTCCAGGCCTATAGCAGTGCAGGGGAACTCTTAAGCACGTTGGATCTTGCCAAAGCCTTGCAAAAACTTGTTCCTAGGTGCTCAAGTGAATATCTGCCAGGTGTTCTTGCAGGTGGTCTGAACCCCAGCCCCACGCCCACCTCTACTGTGTCTTCAGATTTGGTAAAAGTGATTCCAGGAGCTGGTCTGGGTATCCCACAGCTTCTGTGCAAGCAGTTTTTGGTGACTGAGGAAGATATCAGGAAACAGGAAAGGAAAGTAAAGACAGCAAGAGAAAGGTTGGCCATGGCACTGGCTGTAGACAGACTTGCTAGAGAGGCAGAGAAAATGAGGGGCCAAGAAGCACATCCCAAAAAACACCATGAGAAAAAAGAGAAGCTAGTGCAGGTGAAATGGAGCGTGGGACTTTATTAAGGTCTCTTTGCAGTGTCCATGGTGCCTTCATATGCTCCTGAGCCCTCGAAACTTTAATATGTACTGGTACTTTGCTTATATTAAATTATTTTGTGTGACATAGACAATAGACACAGTGATCTTTTTGAGCTGCGAGATTGGGTTTCAGGTGAGGAGAGAAAGGAGGTCTTTCCTTTCCATGAAGTACTGTTATCTTCTTTTACTCTGTATGTTATTTGCATTTTAAAGTCAACAGAGAGTGGTCAAAGTCATGGCATTATTTAGTGTTCTGCCTTCACAGTCAGGGTAAAACATGCCTGGTTGAAATGGACTATTCTTTTTGTGTTAAGATTCCAACAGATTCCAACATAATTTTTTTTTTTATGTTCTCAAAGAAGATGTATGTTTGTAGGTCTCTATTTTTCTGTTCTTTGTTGCATGTTAATTCAGAATTCAGTACAAGGAAATACCAGACTTCTCACTTTTTAAAATATCTCTATGTGTTGGAAATCTGATTCCCAAAAATGGATGTGCCATTTTGGGGATCCTGATGTCAAAAGAGACTGTTTTCAGTATCATTAATCTATCACTGAACCACACTGCTCATTGGGATTTAATTGTCAATTTGCCTGAGCAAACTGTGGTAATATTTAAAGCCTTTTCATCATTACTTAACTTTTGTCTCATGGGTTCATCAGTTTCTGAGAATGAGTTTTTAAAAAATAATATTTGTAGTATTTCTATCTTACCTAAAAATGAGTTATTTTATTTTATTGTTTTTTACTATGTTATGTTAGTCACCATACAGTATGTCATTAGTTTTTAATGTAGTATTCCAAGATTCATTGTTTACATATAACACCCAATGCTCCATGCAATACGTGCTCTCCTTAATACCCATCACCAGGCCAACCCATCCCCCCACCCCCCTACTCTCTAAAACCCTCAGTTTGTTTCTCAGAGTCCACAGTCTCTCATGATTCATTTCCCCCTCCGATTTTTAACCCCCTTCATTTTCCCCTTCTTTCTCCTATTGTTCTCCATGCTATTCCTTATCTTCCAAAAGTAAGTGAAACCATATGATAATTGACTTCCTCTGCTATACTTATTTCACTCGGCATAATCTCCTCCAGTCCCGTCCATATTGATGCAAAATTTGGTTATTCATCCTTTCTGATGGCTCAGTAATATCCCATCCTCTCTTCTTCCATGAGGCACTCATCTGGAATTTTAGAATGTGCTTTAACACCTTGTTTGAAGACTAATTCTGATTTAGGTACACTGAATTTTTTCTTTCCCTCATCACTCCTGTTACATTTTTCTGGGTTCACATTTCTGCTTCCTGATGTACATCCTTGACTGGTTCTTTGACTGAAGGCCTCTGGCAGGGCAATGTTGAGTCTGTCCATATTTCAGAAAGTGTTTTTACCTTTTTCTTCAACAGATAGTGTGGTGAGGTGTTTAACTTAGGTTCTTAGTAAATTTTTTCCTTCCTGGTTATTTAGTATCTCTGAGCCTCTGTATCATTAGCTATAAAATGGGAATGCAGCTCTCAAGGATGGTGAGTGTTAGCTGAGACAATGCTTGCAGAGGCTAGAGACTGAGAAGGCAGCTGGGAAAGTTTGCCACTCATGTTGCTTAGGAGATATTAAGGCATCAATAATGATGTAGCTCTTGTTATCATTATTATGATTTCCAGAGAAGGCATTCTCAGAGAATGACTGCTTAAGACTGAGGATATGACTCTCACACCAAGTAAGTTTGAACAGGTGGCATTGCCGTGACTTCTCTGCCCTTGGGTGTCTTCAGCTGTGGTTGTCTGCAAAAGGTGTAGAGCTCATGCCAACTAGTCCTGCAAATCCAAAGCAGGACAGCACAGCTTGCCTCATGCCTTGCTCATCTGGGGCTGCTTGCTGGGGCAACCCTGCTCTATCTAGTTGGAGTCAGCACAGAGAAAGATGAAGAAAGACTGTCTAGCCTTTTCCTCAGATTTTTTTCTTTCCCACTGAGTGTTATTTAACTTTATATCCAAAGCAGAAACCATGTCTCTCAAGCCTTGAGGTTTCTCTGGGACTGAGGCTTCCCAGATACCTGGTCATTTCGGCTCCAAGTCCCAATGTTGATTGCACAGTCATTCCTGACTCACTCATTCCTTCTTGGACCATTTCCCATCTTGGAGGACTCATGAGGGGAGAGGAGCCCCTCAGGCAGACTGGTCTGGAAGTCCTGGTGAACCCGAGCTTCTGAGAATGAGACAGTGTCAGGAGAACATCAGGGGTGGGGAAATATGGAGGAACGGAGATGGGTGTGGTGGTTGGCACAGAGCCAAGGGGAGGTGTGCTCCAAGGTTTCTAGGAAGAGAAACCTCGAATTGAGGTGGAATGTTGATTTTACATGATACAATGTCTGGGTCTCTTGCCAGTTCTGATGCCTCTGAGGGAGGAAATGGTGTGAAGCCAAAAGACAGAACTGCAGCTGCCCTTCAGGGCTCAGTGAAAGGAAAAACCTTTCATCTCGGTCTCCTGTGAACCAGTCAGAGGCCAAGTCAAGAAGGGCCCAGAGACTGTGTCTGACCAGTGTGGTTTATTCCTATTCCAGTGTGGTTATTCCTGTTGGAGCCCCCAGGCAGAGCTCTCACTGCAGCTTCCTCAGGTCCAGATGAGGCAGGTAATAGCCCAGGCTGTGCTGCTGAACCTCGTAGCCTCCCTCCTTCTTCCGCCGGCAGACGTTGACCTGTGAGGGCAAGAAGAGGGCGTAAGAATGGCCTGGGACCTCAGGGATGAGGGTGGCCAAAGCCACAGATGCCTGGTGCCTTCTGTGTGTGTCTCAACCTTTTTCTACTTCATTTTCTCTCAGGCATGCCTCGTCCTTTTATCTCTTTCTCTTCTCTCTTCCCTTCAACTCTGTTTTTCTACCCTTTTCTCTGATACCCCATTCATATCCTCTCCTTCCCTCCCTCCACACAGGCACCCTCTACTTAACTGAGGTTTAACTGGTGTACAATGAGCTGTATGCATGTAAAGCAAATGATTTGACAAGTTTTGATTATAACTTTGTGAACCATCACCACAATCAAGACAGGGAAAGCTCGTCATCCCCCAAAGTGTCCTCTTGCTCCTTTGTAATTCCTCCTTCCCTGCCATTTGCAAAAACTTTCTCATTCCCAGGGAGCCACTGATCTGATTGATATCCCTGTAGATTAACTTGTCTTCTGTAATTTGTTTATAAACAGGATCATACACTATGTACTCATTGTTATCTAGCTTCTTTCACTCCACATTATTATTTTGAGATTTATGCATGTCAGTGCATGTATTTGTCATTCATTCCTTTTTATTCCTGAATTAGTATTCCATTGTGGGGCTAGACCAGGGTTTGTTGATCCATTCATCTGTTGACGGACCTCTGGGTTGTTTTCAGTTTTTGGCTGGTAAAATAAAGTTATTATGAACATTTGTGTACAAGTCTTTGTATAGATTCTAGTCTATTCTAATTTTAATTTAATTTAACTATTTAATTTAATTTAATGTTATTTCTCTTGCATGAATTCTTAGGAGTGGAATGGCTGGGTAGGTATATGCAACCTTTAAAAATGCATCTAAGCTATTTCTCAACAGCATTCTCTGAGAGGTCTAGTAGTTCCTCATCTTTATCACCATTTGTCAGAGTCAATCTTTTCAATTTTAGCCATCCTCATGTGTCATAGTATCTCTTATGACTTTCACTTATGTTTCCTTAAGACTTATGTTGTTTAAAAGAAGGAAAAAGCAAGGGGCACTGGGTGACTCAGTCAGTTAAGACGCCGACTCTTGACTTCAGCTTAGGTCATGATCTCAGGGTCCTGGGATGGAGCCCCCTGTCAGGCTCCACGCTCTTTGGGGAGTCTGCTTGAGGAGTCTCTCTCTCTCTGTCTCCCTCTTCCCCTCTGTCTGCTCATTCTCTCTCTCTCAAATAAATAAATCTTTAAAAAATTCTTTAAAAAAGGAAAAAGCAAAACACACACAAACTATGAGAGAAATTCACAAAACATATTCCCAGCAAAGGAAATATATTTATAAAGCATAAAGAACTCTTATAACCTAATAGTAAGAAGACAAGCAACCCTCCTTACTTACCAGGAAGCAGCAGATCAGGCATGTGATGAGTACCAGGAGTCCTGCCAAGCAGATAAGGATGATGGCCCAGTAGGGGAGGTCTGGGGAGACAAGTGCTGTTGTGAGTCACCTCCTGTCATTCCCCTAGAAGCTCCTGCTTTCCCTGCACTGTGCCTAACAGTCCCTGACATGGGTTGTCCAGCTTTCACCATTATCAAGACTCTGGGCACATGGTTTTCGTTAAGTACAGCATCAAGACATTCCTTCCCCCAAGACATCCTGGGCTGGGACTTCTTTGAGACTTACCAGAATTCTCAGTTAAGACATCATTTATGTTGGGAGAATACCCTGGAAATGAATGAAATGGAGAATGCATGTGAGCGTGTTTTGTGCTTTTTAAATTTTGTTTTTATGCTTTTTAAATAAGACTTTTCAAATACACAGAAAAACAGAGTATCACAAACATACATCATCTAGATTTAACAATGCATATTTTACCCAATTAAAACAATATTTCATCCAATGTATAAATTGTTAGCACTTGCCACCCTTGCTTCATTCGTATTTTCCCTGAAATGTTGAAGTAGAAATCATAATGTTCACCCATTTTTCTCTAAAAAATGAGGACACTTTGCTACATAATCCAAGGAGCGTAATAAATTAATCAAATTCATACCTCTGGGCAAGGAGGGCTGAAATTGGGCTGGGCCATCTTATGATGGTTTTGGGGAGAATGGGTTATCATAGCTGACAAGACCAAGAGATGTCTCTAAATTTGTAAATTCCCACTCAAAAGCTCTCTTCCCTGCCCAGAAACACATTCACCCCTTCTCCTTTACTAAGTTGTTTTATACTCATTTTCCAGGATTCACCTACAATGTAAGTTTTTTCCAGGAAGGCTTCTGTGATGACCACTTCCAAGTATGATTTATTTCACACCAAATAATTAATACTTTCCAATTGCCTATTCTTGTCATTGTAACTGCAGCATAAACCCCATGAAGGTAGGGACACATAGCACCCACTGGGCATGGGAGAGAGTTTCAGGTCACCCTACTGGACAGCCCCTCCCCAGACAACTTCTTACAGATGTGCTGTCCAATACGGAGCAGCTACAAGTAGCTTCTTAAATTAAAAATAATTTTAATCAACTCAAATTTAAAAATCTGTTACCTTGGTAACATTAAAAATCAGTAACTATAAAAGCCACTCACAATAGCCAGATTTTAAGTATACAACAGTCACATGCAGCCATTGTGCTGGACGGCACAGATAGAGAACATTCCATTATTGCAGAAAGTGCTACTGCATGGTGCTGATCCAGAGCAGAACTTGGCAAACTACAGCCTATGGGCCAAGTCAGGTCCATTCTTACACAGGTCCTCTTTTTATACAGCCTGTCTTGGAGAAAAGGCTAGTTCATATGCAGCTCAGAGCTAGAATCCCCCACTGACCACTGGCCAAGTGACTTTTAGTACAGGGATGAGAAACAGAATTCCAGAGAGGTGAAGTGACCCGCCTGAGGTCACAGAGCTATCTCTGAGAAAGCAAGTGTCTCTAATATCCCACTGGGTATCCCTTCCTCTCCCTCAATGGTAGATAAAGCCTGGGGGGAATATGCCACCTCCCATAAGCCTAAAAATGTTTAATGCTGACTCAACCCCAGGTCTTTAGATTCCCAGGAAAGACCCCACATGTGGAGGTTGGACCCCTAAACTCCTGCCCCAATGACCAAGAAGCCTTACCATCCACAAGGACACTGTTTCTGTCCAGGGTAAAGTTCTGCAGCTGGGTGCCATTATTGGTCAGCCTCAGGAACTCCAAATAAATGGCAACTCTGCCCAGTTTCCGAAACAATGGTGAAAAGTTACACAGTGAATCCACCCCAGTGTGGCTACTGTGTGGAACAGACCTGGAAGGGCAAAAGGGATGAACAAGACTACCTTGAATTCTACCTTGCTTCAGGTTCCCTGCTTCTAGGTCCTGTCCAAAAGAACCTTCTGCAATAATACAAACGTTGGTGTCTGCAATGTCAAAATACAGTCATTATTAGCCCCATTTTGTTGTTGAGCACTTAAAATATGCTAGTGTGGGTGAGGAAATGAATGTCTCATTTTGTTTAATTTAATTAGGTTATAAATAAAAAGCCATGGGGAGAACATTTTTGAAATGTTTGCTGTAAGGACTTCCAAAAATCCATAAAATCATTGAGAACACTGGCAAGAATGGTCAAAATCAACTTTTTCAGAAGTCTAGAAATTAACCAAAGGCTTGTAACAATCTGAGGATCGGTTAGTTAAGAAAAAAATAGGATGTCAGAAAAAATGGCTGAAAACTCTGAAAGTGTGTCCTTCCAAAAAAATAAAAAATAAGGGGAAGTGGGTGGGTGGGGGGATCAGGTAAATGGATGATGGGCATTAAGGAGGACACTTGATGTAATGAGCACTGGGTGTTATATGCAACTGATGACTCATTAAATACTATCCTTGAAAATCCATAAATAAACTAATGCAATCATGGACAACTGATTTTCAACAAGGGTGCCGAGATAACAGGGAAAGAATAGCCTAGTTAACAAATTGGTACTGATACAATTAAATATCCATAAACTAAAGAATGAAGTTGGACTCATACCTCACAACACAGACAAAAATTAGCAAAATAAATCAAATGCCTAAATATAAGAGATAAAATTATAAAACTCTTAGGAAAAAAATGCTGGGTGTAAATCTTTGTGAATTTGGATTAGGCAATGGTTTCTTTGATTTGGGACTAAAATCACAAACAACCAAAGAAAAAATTGATAAATTGAGAGTCATCAAAATTAAAGATGAAATTAAAATTAAAGATGTGTTTCAAAGGGTAGTACCTAGAAGGTGAAAAGGCAACGTGACAAATAGAAGAACATATTTACAAATCATATATCTGACAAAGATCTAGTATCCAGAACACACAAAAATGGTGATAACTCAACAATAAAAAAATCAGTGTAAAACTGGGAAAAGGATTTAAATAGAAATTTCTGCAAAGAAGATAGGAAATGACCAATCGGAACTAAAAAATAAATGTTTACTGTCTTGTTAATTTTGGCCATTCTAACTGGTGTAAGGTGGTATCTCAATGTGGTTTTGATTTATGGCCAAAACACACAATGTGTGTTGGAGAGGATGTGGAGAAAGGGGAACCCTCTTACACTGTTGGTGGGAATGCAAGCTGGTGCAGCCACTTTGGAAAACAGTGTGGAGATTCCTCAAGAAATTAAAAATAGAGCTTCCCTATGACCCTGCAATTGCACTACTGGGTATTTACCCCCAAAATACAGATGTAGTAAAAAGAAGGGCCATCTGTACCCCAATGTTCATAGCAGCAATGGCCATGGTCGCCAAACTGTGGAAAGAACCAAGATGCCCTTCAACGGATGAGTGGATAAGGAAGATGTGGTCCATATACATTATGCAGTATTATGCCTCCATCAGAAAGGATGAATACCCAACTTTTGTATCAACATGGACGGGACTGGAAGAGATTATACTGAGTGAAATAAGTCAAGCAGAGAGAGTCAATTATCATATGGTTTCACTTATTTGTGGAGCATAGGAAATAACACGGAGGACATGGGGAGATGGAGAGGAGAAGGGAGTTGGGGGAAACTGGGGGGGATGAACCATGAGAGACTATGGACTCTGAAAAACAATCTGAGGGTTTTGAAGGGGCGGGGGGTGGGAGGTTGGGTGAGTCTGGTGGTAGGTATTATGGAGGTCAGGTATTGCATGGAGCACTGGGTGTGGTGCATACAATGAATTCTGGTACACTGAAAAGAAATAAAAAAAATAAAAAAAATTTTTAAAAAAGTTCAACATCACTAATTGTTAGGAAAATGCAAATTGGAACAACAGTGAGATACCATTTCACATCCACTGGGATGACTGTAGTAAAAAAAGGGATAATAACAATTGTTGGTGAGGATCGGGATAGTTTGGAACTCATACATTGCTTATGGGAGTGGGAAATGGTAGAACCTCTGTGGCAAACATTTCAGTAGTTCCTCAAAAGTTAGCCTGGAATTACCATATGACCATACAATACCAGTCCTATGTACATGCCCAAGAGAACTGAAAACACAAGCTGATGCAAAAACTTACACAAAAATGATCATAGCAACATTATTCATAATAGACATAAAAGTGGAGATAACCCAAGGTTCATCAGTGAATGAATGGATAAATGCAAAGTGGTTTACCTCCTTACAGTTTGCCTCCGTAAGAGACTCTTAACTCCAGGACACAAACTGAGGGTTGCTGGGGCAGGGGATGGGGTAATTGGGGGATGGGCATGAAGGAGGGCATGTGATGCAATGAGCACTGCGTGTTACGTGTAACTCATGAATCACTAAATTCTACCTCTTAAACTGATAATACAGTGTATGTTAATTAAACTGAATTTAAATAAAAGTTTTTTTTTAAGTAGTAGAGCTATACAACAGATATTATTTAGTCATTAAAAAAGGAATGAAGTACTTATACGTGTTACAACATGGATGGATCTTGAAAACATTATGCTCAGGGAAAGAAGTTGGTCACAAAAGGCCCCGTAGTTTTTGAATCCATTAATATGGGATGTTCAGAATAGGCAAATCCAGACAGACAGAAAGTAGGTTATTGTTTGCTATGGGATGTGGATTAAGGGAGGAGTAGGAAGCAACTGCTAATGGGGACAGGATTTTTTTAAAAGAACATTCCACACCCTGCATCACATCTACATCAAAAACTAATGATGTACTAGTCGGTGGCTAACTGAACATAATTTTAAAAAATTCCACCATTAGATAGTGGGATGATTGTACTACTCTACAAATAAAGCACTAAATTGAGCACTTCAAAGGGGTCCATTTTCTATGTGATCCTATCTCAGTAGATATATGAGAAGTTTGGATTGGCTCTTTTGACTAGTGGCTACACTACTGAGCAGCACAGTCCGACTGCTGGATTCTAAGTCATCTGGTTCTAGCCACCCCCATCTTCTATGGATCCTGACTTCAATGGCTAATTTCTTAAGGCATGGATGCTCTACTCCACATCCCATGGCCCAACATCAGGTGCCTCCAGGTCTGCTGAAGTCTACTCTGGCTTTCTTGAATTTCTGAGCCAGTTGGGTTCACTGGTTTAGGAATAAGTTGGTTTTTAGGTAACAGTTCAATACTCCCAGGGCTATTTTCCATAAGAGCTAGAACTGGGACCATGACAATGGGGACACTTTTACTTAAAGGACATCAGGAGTCTCCAGAGTGATTAGATCCTGAGCTGGAACTCACCTGAATGCTAAAACTTGACAGCCAGAGAAAAAACTCTTGATGCTGCTGTTTCGGAAGACCTGGTTGAGCTGAAAGATAGGACAATGTTCCCTTGATCACCATCCCAGGCCAAGTGGCAGGAGAATTTTTAGCCACTGAGCATACTTCCCTTCTATTTTTTCCCATCTATTTTTTCTTATCTCAACAAACACTAGCCCAGATAAGTGTACCAAAGGACATCCCATTCCAGAGTATGACTTAGCTACAGGACCCTGGACTAGCTACTGAAACTCTCTGGGCCTGTTTCTTAATTTGTAAATGGGCATAAGAACCTATCTTCATGAATTGTTATGAAATTGTTAAGAAAAATCACCCTCTGACTACCCAGTGTCCATAGGTCTGTCTCTACATGGGAATGGAGTGGATTCTCACCGCATTCTCAATACTTCTCTTGTTCTGCCGGTGTTTGGTGGTGCCTGGCTGGGCTATGTCCTGGGAATAGAGTAGGTTGGTAACAGTGAAATTCAGCTGGAAGTGCTCAGGGCTGGGACTGCTTGTTGGTATGTCTGTTGGTAGATGAGCTGATGGCTCCACTTCTATAATAAAAAGAAGGTATAAAAGTCCCAATCAGGTGAAGATTTTAGCGAAAAAGTCATTCCAGCTAGTCTACTTATTCCTGGCAATGTGACCGGAGTTGGATTTTTAAAGATGTTTTGCATAAGGCCCTCTATCCACCCAGCCACTTTGTATCCATTGATCTCTCTATCCACCAACTCTCCCCCAAGCATTATGAGAGCTCACTAGTATGTGGGGATGAGGAGATTGGGCTCTTCTGGGGGCACAGAAGGCAAGTTCAGGTGCTGATCACCCTAGGGGACATCTGTCATACACCTTTGTTGACCTAAGTTCCTAATGTGTCTTGCTGCCTCTGGTCTTCTCCCCTTCCCAATCCACTCTCTATACAACACCCAGAGGATGAGCTTTCTAAAGCAGAATTCTGTTATGTTCCTCTGCAAACCATTCCAGTGCCCAAGAAAGTCCCTGCCTGCTTCTATAGCTTCACCCACCACTTCTCCCATGTCAAAGTGTTTGCTCCAGCCACACCAAACTCCTTAGAGCCTCCCCAAATATTCTGTCTTCTAGGATATAAACACATGTAACTCGACTCCCTAACTCTTCCCATTGGCTAGGTCATGTTCACCATCACATCTCAGTTTGCTCATTACTTCCTCCAGAAAACTTTCCAAGATGGGCTGTGTGTCCCTCCTTGGGGTTCCCTCAGGTTCTTGAAATTCTCTGATTGTAGCAGTTTCCACAGTGCATCATCAGTGACTATTTACTTTCATGACATACTTGTTGAATGAATGAATGTGTCCTTCAATCAATCAATGTATGAGTCATAGCCAGAGGGCCTAAGAAAACAACTCAGGATACTCCACATTTTGGTTTGGAAAGATTTGAGAAAAATAATCATTTCCTTGGGTGCAATTGCTGCATGTTTTTTTCCTACTTCCTGTTGGATGATCCAATGTCATGAGTCATCAACATGGGCCTCCAGAAAGTCCCCCTTTCCCCTCCAGAGCCTCCATCCATTCTACTGCTCCTGAGAAGCCCCGTCCTTCCTTCCTCATAACCCCATCTCTTCAAGCCATGAAATCAACCCCCAATCTTGCACCTGTCACATGCAGGTCCGTTAGCTGATAGGTGGCCCCTAGCCAGTGGGATGAGACATTCAGGGTCTTGTCCAGAAAGACTTTCTTCACCACGCTGGGGTCCACATTGGAAGAGAACAGTACCTGGACAGTGACCAACATGGAGCCCAACCTAGAGACAGAGACCATGGAACTCAGCCATCACTCAACAGGAGCAGTGTCTCCTGAGTTCTTGTTTAATAGGCTCAAAGACCTAAAGGCAAGAGGTGAGAGATTATCTCCCAGGCTAGAGAAGACACCCTGACCAAAAACACAAGGTTTCCACGAGTTGGGAATAGAACAAATAACTATAAGAAGAATGAACATCTACAGAGCACCTCTAGGAAGTGACTTAAACATTCCCTCACTGTCACTCTGGTGGAAGGTATCATTATGATTATCCCCATCTTAAAGACAAAAGAACTGAAGTCTGGAAACACTCAAAGTTGGCTCTGTGTCCCATGATCCTCCTGTTCCCCAGTGTCTCAGTTCTTCCACCCATTCTTCACAGACCTGGATTCCAACCAAATTTGGGCAATTCTTGAGCTGTTTACTTTTCTTCTCCAAGCCTCAGCTTCCCCATCTGAACAATGGGGATGATCACAATAGAATCCATCTCACAGGAGCTGTATGAGAATCCCATGAGATGACCATGCATGAAAGTGCTCAGCAGGGGTAGGGCCACGGGAAATGTTATTATTGGGCTGATCTTTGTTGAAAGTATCTCAAAGAGGAGAAGGTGGTGGATGCTAGTGTTGGTGGCCCCATGAGGTTAATCCTTCCCTTACCCCTTCTCAAAGTCCTATGGAAGGAGATGGTAGGAATGGCTGACAGGGACGTGGGGGAGCATGGAGAGCTTGTCAGTGACTTTCATCTCAAAGACTGTGCCAGGATGGAAGCTCAGAGCCACAAGCTGCCAGCTCAGCCAGCGCTTCCAACCTCCTCAACTTACGTCAAATTGGTGACCAGGCAGGAGTGGAATATATCTTGTAGCTGGCTGCCTCTGTAGAGTTTGGTGACCTAGAATAAAGGGTGCGGACAGTGGGTGAGATGGAGGCCTCCTGGGGCTGAAGGGGGCTACTGGAGCCAGTGAAAGAACACAGGCCTTGGAGCAAAGGAGCTCTGAGTTTGTATCCTGGCTGTGTGACCTTAGGCACACCACTCCCCCTTCTGAGCCTCAGTTTGCCCACCTGGAAAATGGGGAAGGCAGCCAGAGCACCACCTTTGGAAACTGAGAGAACTCAAAACACATAGGCAAAGGGCAAAATTGAAATAATCACTTAATATATGTGAATCAGAGGAATGACAGGGGCACCCAGGGCAAGGAGAGACAGGACTGGTGAGAGAGACACTACCTTGTCCTGGATGTCCCTCCACAGGGCTGTGTACTCCAAGGATGTGGGGTCTGGGTTGCTGAGGTTCCAGTTGATGATGCGGAAATTTAGCTGATACTCCCTCTGGGTAGATAAACTCTGGGGTGCATAGCCTGGAGCCAACGAGAGGAGGAGAAGACCATTGGAGACTCTTCGCCATTAGCACAGAGAGAGGCATAGTGCCTACTGTCAGAGTCAGCCAAACTTAGGCCCACATGCTGGGGACTTCCAAATGGAAAGTCACCCCACAATGGGGAAAACTGGAATTTTACAGGGATTCTCCCAGGGTGAGTTTTTCTATTGCACTTATGCAATTCTCACTTCCTGGAATGTTCTTTAATCCTCTGCTTTTCCTGGAAAACTCCTACTCATGTTTCAGAACCCCAATGAGATGGAACTCCAGGAGAGCAGGGATCTCTCTGTCTTGTTCTTGCCATGTTCCAGGGCCTAGTACAGTACTGGGTACATAATATCTTCTAGGAAGCCTTCCCTGAATTGTTCCCCCTCTGTGTTTCCATGGCACCCTGTTAATAACAGTGTCTCTGCCTTTTTGGTGTGTCCCTAAGTAATATTCAGTCCTCTTGGTTATGAGATTTTTCAGGGAGAGAACTTGTGTGTTCTATCCCTGTACCCAGCACATGGCTTGGGACAGAATGGTAATGTAAATGTGTTTGTTGAAGGGGTGAATGTAAACTTCAGTAGATCCTCAAATATGGGGCTGAGATACTCTTCTCCCAATGGTTCACTCATTTACTCATTCACTGTGTATGAGGATATACTAACTAAAGAACTGAGGCTGTAGTGACACATTACAAGACCTTAATTTCATAGAGTTGGATAATTAAACAATTGTAGTGAAATATGATTAGTTGGTCTGGTGCCCATCTAGGAACCATGGGACCATGGAGAGCAGGGTTTCTCATCCTCAGAACTACTGATATTTGGGGCTATGTAAGTCTTGGTGGCGAGGATCTCCTGTTTGTTGGAGGACATTAGCAACACCCTTGAGCTCTAGCCACTAGATGCCGGTAGCACTCTTCCCCAGTTGTGGCAACCAAAATGTTTCCAGTCATTGCCAAGTGTCTCCCGAGGGGCACAATTGTCTCTAGGTTAGAACCACTGACATAGAGGGGCCTCACATTGTAGAACTCCTGTCCCAAGAGATCCCATGAGTCAGACACTCGGGGTTCAAATTAGAATCCATTATATTAATTTGTCAAAGAATTTCATGCTATTTACCTAAAATAACAGGAGAGACTTTTTCCATGGAGAGTTTGGGGAGGGTATTGCCTCATCAGAACTTGGGCTGACTTGTTAAAGAGTAAGTAAAGTAGAATGAGGACCAATAATGATTGCTATAAATCACTCACCATTGACGAAGAGGCTGTCATGGACCAGGGTATAGAAGCCCATCTGGGTGACACCATGGGTCAGCTGGTACAGCTCCCAGTAAAGCTGCTCTCTGTCAAGTCCATGGCCCATGGAGTCATGGCGGTAGGTGCAGATGGCATCAACATGGGTGGTTGGCCCATCCTTCTCAGGTCTGGGGAGAGAGGGATGTGGGGACTCTAAAGGTAGGTCCTGAAACCTCACAATGGGGATCACAAGGAGGGGGGTAACAAATGGGAGATCAGCGGGAAGACTGGAAGGGTTGGTCACCAAAATGGTCACTACTGGCAAATGCTCAGAAAAAGAGTCCTACCTGAGGGAGATTAGTCTGCAATCTGAGTAGAAGGGGCCCAAACTGCTCTTCTGGAACAAGGATCCAAGCTGGGGAGGAAGGGAGAGGAGGATGAACAGGAGAGACAAAAGTGGGGCAAGGGCTGGGTGGAATTGATCCCACTAGGAACTTCTGGGACCAGGGTCTCACCAGGCGCTGCAGGGTCCTCTTGGTGGAGTTGAACATAGTTGAGCCATTGCTCATGTCCACTGAATACTGGAGGTTCGAGATGGTGAAGTTGAGTGTAAGGGTCTTCAAGTTGTATCCCATAGCTACAAGAAGAGAGGGGAGAGATGGCTATTACTGAGAGTTGGCCTGAGACCAAATCAGAGTCCTACATTCATTGTACTCTGTCATCTTCTCTTCCAGCGGCACCACCACCCATAATCTGGTCACCCAATTCAAAACCATCATGTTGCTCAGCTCCTCCTCCTTCCCCTCCAAGTAACCCCAACACCACTTGCAGAATGGTCCTCATATACATCCTTTCTATCCTCTCCCAGTTCAAGCCTTTTCTTCTCTCACTTGGACCAACACCCCAGCAGACTTACTGGATGCCCTCTCTAAAGAATGTTCTCTACACTGAAAACTAGAAGAAATTTCCTTAAGTAAAAAATCTCAGTATAGTCACCACTACCCATGGCTTCCTTTGGCCTTCAGTGTCAAGTTCAAACTTCTTGACCTGGCACTCAAGGTTCTTCCCAATATGGTTCTTGTGATCCTTTCAGCTTCACATATCCATCTACTCTAGGTTCAGCTTTATGCTTTATGCAAACTAAATCCCTCTCAGTTCTCTCCATACACTATGCTGTTTCTGGCCACTGAGACTTTGCTCATCAAATCTCCTATATCAGGAAAACTCTTCATCCCCTATTTTCCTGGATGACACCTCCTCATTCTTAAACTCTCATTTTGGTTGAAACTTTCTCCAGAAAGACTTCCCCCCCAAAATTATACTATGTGCCTCTCCCCAAAATATCTCACATTGTTGTTATAATGGTCTGCTGATCTCACAAAACTAGTGGCTCCATAAGGGTATGCATTAGACTGAATTGTCAGTGTGATCTTTGCAATTGACATGACTGACCTACACCAGAATTTTACAACTGACTGGTAGAGCAGAGCTTTTCTTGGGAAGGAAAAGGGATCTCCCAGATACCTGTGGTGGCTTCTGGTTGTGTAGGTGATGATGAACGAGGCAGGAATGTGGTGGCTGCCTCAGGAGCTGTGGAAAGGGCAGTCATCAGGAAGGAACAGAGTCCCCACACAGTGGGAGAAACTCCCCAAAGCTTGCCTGGGCTCTAGCAGTGGTTGCCCCAGGACAAGCATTCACAGGTATGTCATCAATGAGAGTAAGGGAAGGAGGAATTGTGTGAGCAGAGGGGTGAATGAGCCCACAAGTGAAATAAACTCAAGAAAGTAAGGGTAGGCGAACAAGAGAGAGATTAAGCAAGAGGCCAGGGAGATGAATGGGCAGAAAAGTGGACAGACAGGGGGGATACCTGGGTGGACAGAAGAATAATGAACAAATGAAGGGTCAAAAAGAAAGAAAGAATAAACACAGGAAGAAAAGTTGGAGAGATGGATAGAAGGGAAAAAGGAGGAAAAGACAAGCAAGTGAATAGGCAGAGGCTGGATGGATGGACAGATGGATGGAAAGAAGTAAAGAATGAAAGATGGATGGATGGAAGGATGGACAAAGGAGAGAAGGAATGAAGCATGGATGGATGCAAGGAGAGATAGAAGGATGGATGGATGAATTGATGGATGGGTGGATAAAAGAAGAGAGAGAAGGAGGGAAGGAAGGATGGATGGATGAATTGAAGAAAGGAAGAATGGATGAAAGTTTGGACGGACAAAGGGAAAGAAGGAAGAAAAGATGGATAGAGGGAAGGAAGAATGGAGAAGTCTGAGAGAAGAGATAACTTGAGAATGGGAGAATGGATGGATTAAAAGATAGATGAAGGGACCATTGGACAACGAACAGGCAAATTTGGCCAAACCACTGAGTGGCCACCACAGTTGCATCTTGACATTGAGGCCACTTCTGTGGCCCTTGTAAGAGATCTTGTTTTCAGGAGGCATGGACTCATCATCTGACCTCAACCCCGCATCCCTGTAGGAAATGTTTGTTCAAATTTCTTCCTCCAACCCAAAAGGGTGTGGAAAGTTTAGAAAGCCAATGCCATGGCTGCAGGCCCAGAAGAGACCAAGGACTCAGCATGCTTCTTCCCACTGATCCCTGGCCACACTCAGGAGAGCAGCCTGAGATTGGGGCAAGCTCCCTTTATTAGTGAGGAGAAAAGTTTGGCTCAAGACCGGTAGAGGCTGATACGGGTACTGGTTGCAAAGATACATACTTGTAGGAGGCTCATCTGGACCACGTTCATTATAACCTGGAAACAAAAATGTCACATGTAAGGGGAGATGGCAGCACAATCCCAGATATTCCATGCCTTTGTCCATGTGGGGCTCCTGCTGGCCTTTCCCTCTGTGTACCAGGGAAGCATCTATGCATTTTCCAAGATCAGACTCAAATGTCATCTCCATCATTAAGGTTTTCCTGATCTTCCAGGTAGAGATGACCCTTCCCTATCCACCTCTCCAGCATGCCCCTAAGAGACCCTCATCACATTTATGTTCACACATTTATTCCCCCACATATATATCCGTCCCAATATCTACCCTTCCGCCCTCCCTCCAATCTATCCCTCCAACCAACAACTATTTATTGAGAACCTACTATGTGCCAAGTTCTATTACATTTGGAGAATATATCACTGAACAAAATATCTCTGTCCCTTTGGAGCTCATATTAGGACAGGTTGCCCATGTAGCCTGTGTCCCTGGTGCCAAGCACAAGGCCTGGCTTATAGCAGATTCTGGGGACTGCTGGCTGAGTGAACGAAACGAAGCATATTTTACAGGGGGGGAAATATCCTAAACTTGCCCCTGCAAGGGCCAAGGTGAAGGGAAAAGATGTGAACGCACAACATCAAGACCCAGACTGACTAGTGGCATGGGTAGGTTGCTTTCCTTCTCTGTACATCTCCCTCTTTGCTCAAATGGGAGTCATAAAGGGCCAGGATGTCTCCCTGTCCACCTGTTGTGGTAATGGGGATAAGAAAGTGTGATTTGCCAAATACCATTTCCAAGCTGGGGACAGAGAGGAGAGAAGCTGAATTATTCCAATAAACCTCACCACGTTCCATGCTCTGCCTCTCAGAACCCCAGAGGGGGTGGTCACCTTCTTAAACACTGTCCCTTCCTGGCTTCTAGAAAGATGCCCGGCATGTCCAAAGCTTGGACCCCACAGATGTCCAGAGTGCCTACCTCATTTCCTGGCACTAGGGCCCCACCCAGGAGAGAAGCCCATCCCTGGTCTAGGGTAAGAAGCTGGGAGAGAAAACAGATGTGGGATTTTCTTTTCCCATGCCTCCCCTGGAATGATCTTTCAGGAGTTAAAAGCATAGGGTCAAGCACAGTGTTGGATGCTAACTGCTGGGGCTCAGGCCTGGCTCTGTCCTTCTCTAGCTGCACCCACTTGGGCAAATTACTTAACTTTTCAGAGCCTCCATGTCTTCATCTGTAGAACAGGTGTGATCAGGGACAGCCTTACAGAGTGACTGTTGGAGGGTAGGGGTCAGTACAGAGTTGAGATTCACACCTGAATTTGTCTCAAGGTTTCCTCTAGGTTTCCTGACCTGTGGGACAGGGGTATGGAAGCAGTGAGGGGGTGCTGAGAACTGCTCACCATTGAGGTAGAGGCTGTCCTTGTCCAGAGAATAGGGACCCAGCCGGGTAATGCCGCAGGTCTGCCGGCTCAGCTCATGGAACACCTGCTTGGCAGGCAGATCCGGGCTGCTAGGGGGCTGCCGGTAGGTGCAGAGGATGTCCACCCTTGTTTTGGCACCATTCTTCACAGACCTGAGGAAGGAGAGATTGATGTGTAGGGAGTGCAGCCCACACGGTACCTCTTTATCTGTGGGTGCTGCACACCTCACGTCCTGTGTTCCAGCCTTACTGAACCATTCACAGTTTCTCCACCTGGCCACACTCTCTCATCCCAGGATCTTTGCACATGCAGTGCCTTCTGTCTGGAGGTCTCTCCCCTTCTCTCCTTACTCTCTGATAATTTCCTGGTCATCCATCAGCTCTCAACTTAGACACCTCCTTGTTCTCCAAGAGCCCTCCCAGGCAGAGTCAGGAGAGGATCCTGGTTGCCACAGGACACCATGCTTCCCCCATCACAGCTCTGATGGCCCCCAGTGTGAACCTATATTATTTGTTCCTGTTCCCTCTAGACAGAGGCCTCCATGAGGTCAAGTAATGGGACAGTTTAGCTCACCATTGTGCTGAACTCCCAGCACCTTGGCCATTGCCTGTTCCATGCAAAAACCAAAGTCCTGATGAATGGATGAACAAAATAGGATATATCCATACAATGGAATATGATTCAGCTTTAAAAGTGAGGGAAATGCTGACACTGGCCACAATGTGGATGGACCTTGAGGACTTTATGTTTAGTGAAGTAAGACAGACACAAAAAGGCAAATACCACATGATTTCACTTGTGTGAGATACCCAGAGTGGTCAGATTCATGGAGACGGAAAGTAGAATGGTAATGGCTAACATCTGGGAGTAGAGGGAAACAGGGAGCCATTGTTTAATGGGTACAGACTTTCAGTTTTTGCAAGTTCTAGAGACCGGTTGCACAATAATGTGAACACACTTAACACTACTGAACTGGACACTTAAAAATGATTCAGATGGCAAATTTTCTGTTGTGTGTCTTTTATCACAATTAAAAAAGAATCCATTCCTGCCAAGATTCTACATGGTGTGGACCTTGCTGCTGTCTGGAAACATACCTTTCTCTCTGTCCCTCTCTCTCTGTTCCAGCCACACCGGCCTCCTTGCTGTTCATTGAATATGCCAAGCTCATTCCTACCTCAGGACCTTTGCCCATGCTGTTTCCTCCACATGGAACAGTTTTCACAGCCAGTTTTCAAGGCCAAATCCTTTTCCACCTGGGACACCGTTCAGAAATCACCTCCATGAACTATCCTGTGCCCTAGGTAAAGCTGCTTTCCCATCTTTCTGCATATCTGCTTCGCATCACCTTACTATATTTGAAACCATTTCAGATTTTTTATTCTTCCACTTAGATTCTTCTTCCTCCACTAGATGAGTGCAGGGACAGTGCCTGTGCTGTCACCATGGTGCCCACCACCTGCCTCAGGGGAGCTGCACCACTGATGACAGCGGACTGAGAACACAGCTGGAGAAATACTTTGTAAACCCCCACAGAACCCACACCAACCCAGAAAAGTGGAAGTAATGGCCCGATGAAAAGTTTCAGAATGAGTAGGATGATGGGTGCATAGCATCGTTCCCATAACAGATGTCACTGAAATGTATGCTTGAAAATAGTGAAATGGCTAATTTTATGTCTATATGTATTTTGTCACAATTTTAACAATAATGTAACATGGAGACATGGATGCCAACAAGGACCCTCCAAGACAGTCTGCTACAACTGGCAGTGGCCCCCACAGTCAGAAATCCTGTCCTGCCGCAGGGGGTCATGGTGGGTGGGGGGGGGGGTTCTCACCTTAGTGAAGTGACTTTGCAGCCTGCATATCGGGTTCCTAGGCTGCTCCTCTGGAACAACGGGCCAAGCTGGAGAGGAAGGAGAGGGCCAGTGTGGTCAGACCCAGTGACAGCCCCGAGGAGGAGTCATGGAAAAGCTGGTCTCTTACCAGGTACTGCATGAGGCTGTCTGTGATGTTGAACTTGAGGGAGCCGGGGTGGCCCATATCCGCTGAGTAGCGCAGGTTGTCGATGGTAAAGTTCAGCGTGAATGGCTCCTCACTGACCTCCCCAGCTGTGACAGGGGCAGAGAGGGCCAAAGCTTATGGGGACATTGGGGCACCCAACATCCACCCATGATGGGGCTTCCAAGGGCCTCTTGTCCTCCGTCCATAAACCCGAGGGTCGCTTGTTAATGGGGACAACTCCAGCAGCAAGTAAGGACAGGTGTAATGATTTGGGGGCTGGAGATGGTATTCCCACCCAGGTGCAGGAGTGGAGGGGCTCTGTGGAAACACTAGTGGCTTTGTTCTTCCCAGAAAGGAAAGGCTCCAACTTACCATACTGATGTAGAACCGGGGAAAACCCCACACATTGTCCTCCATATGCTCTCTGCTCCCCCATCTCTAACTCTTTATCTCTCTGTGCCTCCGTCTCTCTTTTCTTCTCTGTCTCTCCTACACCCAGATATGCCAAACTTCTATGCATTGCATAAAAAAAATCCAACTAGGAGCTCTAACCAATCTCTCTGTACCTTGATTTACTCATCTGTAAGATAATGATTCCTAATTCAAAAGCTGAAATGAGGTTTGAACAAGTCAGATTCTGTAAAGTGCCTAAGCACAGTGCTGGGCACAGGGTAAACACTATATAAATATTCATTATATAAAACAAATAAGCAAATACTTTCTGATCACTCACTACATATGGAACTTTAAACCTGGGTAAGTAGCTGGGAGCTAGAATCACCCACACGAAACAGAGGAGGAACCACAGTACAGAAATGGTCCTCTGCCCAGGGTTACATGACTGGAGAGGGAGAGTCTGGTTCTGGACCCAGGTTCTCCAACCCCAGAGTGCTTGCTCATGACCTCCCCTGTGAAGACACACGCTCCTGCTGAGACACATGCAGCTGGCTCAGTGTTCAATAGTTGGGGTGACCTGAGTAGACCCCAGGGGAAGTGTAATAAATGAACATATGATTCAAGTGAGACCAGAGGCCCAATGGCCTGGCTCTATAATGGATAATCAGGACAAACCTTTGGAAGAAAAACTTACCTCTCCCCTCCCTCTCTTCTGTTCACTACTCCTTCCAAGCTCCCTTCTGTCTATCCTTCCTTCCATCCTTCCTTCTTTCCTTCCATCTTTCTTTCTATTCATCCATGCATTCATTCTTTCTTCCTTCCATCTATTCATCTTTTCTTCTCCCTCCCTCCATCCCTTCTTCCTTTCTTCTATCATCTGTCTACCTAGCATCCTGTCCAACCACCCATCCTTCTATCCATCCATCCTCCATGTCTCCATCCATCAACCCACCCTCCCATCCACCCATCCATGTACCCATGACATCCATCCATCCATCCACCCACCCACCATCCTTTCACACATCATTCCTTCCTGCCTCATTCCTTCTTTTCCTTCCTTTTTCTCCATTCACACCTCTTTCTATGCATCCTTTTGTCTGTCCTTCCTTCTGTCCCCACCTTCGTCCATCTATCCACCTTTCCTTGCTTCCTTCCTCCACGCTTTCTTTTCTTCCATCTATCCATCCATCTTTCCTTTCTCTCATGTCTATTCCTTCCATCTATTTAGACATTTTCCCTTCCTCCTTTTCCCCCTCCATTCATCTTTGCTTCCTTCCATCTGCCCATCCATCTTCTGTCCTCCCTCCCTTTCATCACTTCTTCCTCCCTCCCTCCCATCCATCCATCCATCCATCCATCCATTTGTGTCTTTCCTCCATGTACATTGAATTGATCCTATAATGCTTCAGGAACTATTCTGAGGAGTGGATACTGAGCAACAAAACACAGTCAATCCAACTGACTTTAACTTATTTTTCCTCTTATCATTTGGGAAAAGATGGTTGTCATTGTACCTGAGGAGCCCAGACCCCCAGTGATGTTGGAAGGAGCGAGGGAGGATGCTGTGGTGTAACAGACCAGAGATGGACCCAAGAAGAGAGTTTGAGAGGGCTCCAAAAACACACCTCTAATGCAGGGGCAATTAATTCTTGAAAAAGCTACAAGGTCCTCATTCCAGGGTTTGCTAGGGATGAACTTGAACATAACAGGTGTACACCAAAAATCAGCATGTCTTTTTAAAGAAATTAACTGATGGAGGAGTGAGACTGTGAGTTTTTGGAGTCACAGGAACTCTTGGTTCTATTATGTATTTGCTGTATGGCTTGGCAGCCTCTCCCAGCCCGAGTTTACTCATCTGTAAAATGGAGCTGAGTCACATGGTTGTAGCAAGAACTAAAGGATAAAGAGCATGTGTTTTTGGATGAATTGTGTCTCCTGTCCTTCCTGTATACACACACACACCCAAATTCAAGAAGCTCTAATCCCTAGTACCTCAGTAGGTGACTGTATTTGGAGACAGGGCCTTTAGAGAGGTAGCTGGGTTAAAATGAGGCTTTTGGGGTGGGCCCTAGTCCAGTCTGGCTGCTATCGGTATAAGAAAAGGAGATTAGGACACAGAGGGACACCGGGAATGTGTGTGCAAAGGAATGACATGCCAAAAGGCAGCAAGTAGATGCCACCTGCTCGCCAAGGAGAGAGGTTTCAGAGCAACCAACCCTGTTGGCACCTTGATCTGGACTTCCAGCCTCCAGCACTGTGAGAATATATGTGTTGGTCATCTGAGCCACCTGGCCTGGGTATTTTGCTTTGGCAGCCAGAGCTGATCAAGACAGTACATAACGTATGTAGTACGGTGCCCGGAAGGCACCAAGTTCAATACATGTTCACCAAAAACCTAACAAATGGTGTAACACTGATGTTGAGACACTCTCAGAACAATGGACAGAGAGGTGAGTGGAAGGATAAGAGAAGAGTGCCAGGGCAGGGTTTTAGAAGAATCCGAGGGATAACCACATGAAGGTCAGAATGGTGGGAGGACGGGCCTGTGTGTGAGATGCTCTTGCCTTGGGCTGGGACTCTCCACCAGAACCCAGAGGGAGAAGTGGGGAGTGAGGAGCCCTCCCAGGTCTTTCCCGCACTGAAGACGGGAGGTAAAAGGAGAACAGAGTGGGGATGGGACCCAGGAAACCAGGGCCAGGAATACTCACTAGTGGTAGTCGGTATTATGGTTCCATAGGTGTAACCTGCAGAGAAAAAGCCAGAGGAGCTGAGCCAGAGTCAGGGTGAACATAAAGGATTAAGGGAAAGGCAGGATTTATCAGGACTTTGTAGGAAAAGCAGAGGGGATGAGGCAGTGGAGGGATGTTTGGGAGGAGACATCCAGGCAAGGAGACTGTAGATGGCTAGAGCCCATGGTTATGTCATTGGAATGAAGACTGAACCAAGACCAGAGAAGAAGGAGATATACCACAGCTCCTTTTAGAGAAACACAAAACTCTCCCAGGAGAGAGACCCTGCCTGGAGCACAGTCCCTCACCGTTGACATAGAGGCTGTCCCTGTCCAGGGTGAAGGGCCCCAGCTGGGTAATGCCATAGGTCTCACGGCTCAGCTCCCAGTACAACTGCTCCCTGTCCAGCCTGGGGTCTGCGGAATCAGAGCGGATGGCACAGAAGATGTCCACTCCGGTGGCTGCTCCGCCCTTCTCAAGCCTGGGGAAGGAAGGACATGGGGATGTGGAGTACTGAGGAGGGGTCCTTCTAAACGTGGAAAGCAAGAGAGCTGAAGGCAGGAGGCTGAGAGGGCTCAAGCCCAGAGGGGCTCTCCAAAGGGTAGCTCATCTGAGACAACCCCCTTGCAACTAAGAACAAAAAACACTTTAAGAGAAGACACGTTAAGACTTTAACACTTGAAGACAAGAGATAGTGCTTCTTCCAAGAGGAAAGCTTTCATCTAAAACAAATGATCATCTCTGGATTCTGTAAGGACAAACATGACACCTCATTTCTAAGACCTGAACATTCCCACCCCGTGGGCGTGAAGAACACAGGAAGGTGTTACGGCGGGTGCTGGAGGCCAGTGATGCCAAAGGCATTCCCAAGAACTGAGCCCCGCTGGCCAGTACATGAGGTCCACTGGACCCAATGCATCCCTCCATCTGGGGGTCTCACCTGAGCGAGGCCAGTCTGCAGCCAGCGTAGAGGGGCCCGATAGTGGTCTTACTGAACAAAAGCCTGAGCTGGTGGGGAAAGAAAGGGGCATGAGCAGAAAGGCTGAAGGACAACACAAGCAGGCATGTGGCAGGGCTGATGGTGGTCGTTGGGGGGCTCTCACCCGCTGCTGGAGGATCCTCTCCGTGGAGTTGAACTTGGAAGAAGCTGGGTGCCGCATGTCTTGAGTATAGTGCAGGTTGGTGATGGTGAAGTTCAGGGTGAAGGACACCAGAGTGGGGCCAGTGGCTGCAGTGGGGGAAGAAGAGAAAAATGTCCAGTTTGGACCATAGTAAGGACCAAGGGTGCCTGGAATTCCAACAGTGGAGCACCAGCAAGGGACCTAAGTATAGCCACAGACTGCAGAAGCTGAAGGAGAGAATGTTACAGGAGTTTTGAGACATTGGGGACTTTCACTCATTCATTCAGCCAGTGTGTATTGGGTATCTAATGTGTGTGAAGCCCTGTGCTGGGTTCTGGGGGTCCAAGGGTGAATAGGGCACAGTCTCCTAATATTGTGGTCAGGAGCGTGGCCAGACCATTATGCTGCAGGGGAGCCAGGAAGGTTTTCAGTCCCAGAGAGGCACCCAACCAAAGACCGAGGACAGCTTTCAGGAGGAAGCATCTTTTCAGGTGTGACTGAAAGCACGAGTAAGAGGTAGGTGAACAGGGTCTGAGCAAGTGGCAGAGTGCTCAAGCAAAAGAATCAGTCTGGGTATGAGCCTGACAGGAGACTATGCAGTTGCCCTCAAGGGACTCGAATGTTTTCATTATGGCCTTGTGGAAGTATGCAGTGACTATACAGCTCAGGGATTTGGACATGACTTGTAGATAAGGTGGAGTCATCCAAAGATTGTCAATAAGACAGGAATTACATGGACAGAAGTACATTGGGAGGGCGGTTGGCAGCTGCTGTGCAGAGGACTGTAGGAGGGCAGAGTAGAGGCTACTGTACCAGTCCTAGCAAAAAATGCCAGTGGCCTGAATAAAGGCCAAATGACACAGATGCAGTGAGAAGACTTGGCGGGATATTATGAAGGGAGAAGAGATGATTTGGTGATGGATAGATGGGAGGTGAGTGGGAAGGAGGGTGAAGGTTGGCACGTGTGTCCCTGCCTTTGGTGATAAGGAAAAGGAGCACGTTTGGGAGAAGATGGTGACTTTAGGGTCAGAGACTGAGGGGTCAGGTGATGTCCAGGAGGTGGGTGGACCAAGGGTGAGGAGCTGCCGTGTAGAGTGGGCTGGACTCAGGATTAGGATTCTGAGCAGCTAGACCTTGAGCTGTTATGTGGTCCCTGAAACCCACAGAAATGGATGAGTTTCCTCAGGGAAACTAAGTAAGCAATAATGAGGGAAGAAGTGATCTTGAATGGATGATTTTGTAGAAATGATTTGGGTGCCAGTAGGACCTTCCTACTTGCGAACTTGAGGGATAGGGCAGAGAGGACGGGGGAAGGTTGCAGAGGTCACAGCAACAGAGGGAAAAGAACACAGGGGATGAAATCAAAGGTGGGTTACACCTATAAGGGAATGATGGCCATGGTGGCAGCTCACATCACAAACTGTGTGCCCGGCCCTATGCCCCATTCAGCCTGGAGTCCGGGCACCATCCTCGGGTGTGTTGTGCTGGCAGGGAGGGGTGGGTCCTGTGACCTCCAGTTCAGCCCGCACTTCCATTAACATCCTCTGTACTCCTTCCCACCCAGAAGGGGGGGATTAGGAGGCAAGACCTTCCTGGTTCAGCAGCTCCTATCTTTAAGGAAAGGGTGGTGGTCCCAGGCACACAGAGGTCTGAAATACTCACTGTTGGGGGTGGTGGCTGAAGCTGGATGGGTGTAACCTGCGAAGAGAGGGAGTGACAGTGAGGAGGGGAAGGGAGAGGTCCTCAATGAAGAGGCAACTTGGGCTGCTGGAAAGATGGCCGCTACATCATCACAGCTGAAATTCTTTAAAAGGAAGATGATTATGCACTGGAAGGGGATCCAGGCCTGCTCCACTCCCATCTCCAGACAGACAAAGGACCTGCTTACAGAACTTGGAAATGTGAACCCCCAGTGGAGATCCGAACTCATGAAGAATCCTGCTGCAGTAGAAGCCCTCTTTCGGCACAGGGGAGGCCCACAGCCCAACACGGCCCCCACCAATGATGTACACTCTGTCACCGTAGAAGCTGGCAGCAAACCAGTGCTCTCGGGGTGGGGACCTCGTCATCCTGCATATGCCAGGGACCAGCGCCTATGTCTGGGGCTTTAATGGGTTCACCCGAGGCTGGGGGTGGAGCAGGGTGCAGAGGGCAGGCAGCTGGCTCCTGGCCGCTTCTGTTCTAGGGTTGCAGAGGGACCCACAGGGTTGCAGAGACTTCGGAAGCCTCTGGACACTCACCACTGGGGGTGGTGGCCTGGGTCTGGCAGGTGTAACCTGCACAGGTAGAGCGAGAAAGGGTGAGGAGGGCGAGTAATGAGTGAGATGGAGGAATGGAGGGGAGGATGTGGGGACTGTTGAAAGGTGGACACAGATGGCAATCCCTCACCATTGATATAGAGACTGTCTGGGTCCAGGGTGTAGGGACCCAGCCTGGTGATGCCGCGGGTCAGCTGGCTCAGCTCCTCGTACAGCCGCTCTCTGTCCAGCCCAGGGCCCACGGGGTCAGGGCGGTGGGTGCAGATGGCATCCACTCCAGTGGCCGCTCCATCCTTCTCGGGCCTGGGGGTGGGTGGGTAGGGGTAACAACAGATGGAGTCCCCAAGCAGGGCGCCTGGCCCCTCTGGGGCAGGACAGGAAGGGGCCAGAGCAAGCGAGAAGGCTGGCACCCACCTCTGGCCAGCCTGGGGCTGTGCACACAGTCAGTGGGTGGGAGGATTTTTATTAAATTGCAGGTCTGAAACCTGCAAGCTGGGGGACAGGAGAGCTCCTACTTGAGACAGGTGAAGAGCTGGAATTTGGGATTAAAGCAAGTGGAAAAGGCATGCTTGTCTTGAGAGGAATCCTGGGGATGGAACTGAAAACCTAAAGGAAATGCCCTCTTTGGTCAAAGGGAGGCAGGAGGGAATTTGGAAGGATGATTAGCCTAGGGTCATATCCTGCTGAGGGGCTCCCTAGAACGTGGGGACAGTTGGTGGGGTTGCAGGTGCTTGCAATCAGAAGAGGTCTTGGTCTGGAGCCAGTGGTTCCTGAATTCCACCTCTTCTGAGGACATGGACAGAGAAGGCAGGAAGGAAGCAGAGGGAACTCTTGGGGTCTGGGAGCCCTTGAGATGGTCCTGGCCTGGGATTGCAAGGACTCACCTGAGCAAGGTCAGCCTGCAGCCTGAGTAGAGGGGGCCCACACTGGTGTTCTTGAACAAGGGTCCGAGCTGTGGGTGAAAACAAGGGAAGTAAATAAGTGAATTGAGACGCAGGGGCTGGACGGGCATCGGTGGGTGGGGCAAGAGGGAGGTGGGAGGGGCTAGCCCCCAAGGTCTGGGCTGGAATAGGGGTGGCCTCGCATCAGTAGGCAGGATGAGGCTAGGGGGCGGGGCTGGCAGGGGGAGGTGGGCGGGGCTCTCGCCTGGAGCCGCAGGGACTTCTCTGTGCTGTTAAATTTCCGGGAGCCTGGAGGCTGCATGTCCTCCGTATAGTGCAGGTTGGTGACAGTGAAGTTGAGAGTGAATGGCACCAGCGGTCGTCCAGTGGCTGCAGCAGAGGAGGGAGAGGAGATGAGTCAGGCCTGGGATGGGTACGGGGGCAGGGCCTGGGACCCGCAGCTATCTCACCGGAGACCATAGCAAGTGTTGAGGGTCCTTGGGGACCTAGTGCCAGAACCACCCGTGAGGACAACCTGAGACCATCACATGCAGCAGGTGAAGGTGGGCAGGATCCGCAGGAGACAATCTACCAACTAACATTCTTATTTATTCAAGCCTGCCTTCTGGTACTTTCTTCCATCCCTCGACCCCCACGTGGTGGCCATTTCTCTGTGTTCAGCCAACAGCACAGAGGTGATGCACAGCTGAATCGTACTGCAGTGAACTCCCAGTCTGCATCCCCGACCCCTGCCCTCCCCGACAGCTGGAGGTGTGGGCGGGGGTCTGCTGCTTCTTTCCCTGATTGGGGGGGCAGTCTGAAGACCCGCCGCGTACTCACCACTGGGGGCAGTTACTGGTGTCTGGTGGGTGTAGCCTGCGGAGAGAGGACAGGAGAGAGGGGAGGTGCTGAGGTGGAGAAGGGAAAAAAGAAGACAGGGTGGGGGTGGATGGAGGGGTGGACCTTGGGCTTGACAGCTCAGCAGAGTGCAGGGGCCGCTGCTCACCACTGACACAGAGACTGTCCTCCTCCAGGGTGTAGTGGCCCAGCCTGGTGACGCCATGGGTCAGCCGGCTCAGCTCCCAGTACAGCCGCTCTCTGTCCAGCGCGAGGCCCGTGGGGTCGGGGCGGCGGAAGCAGACGGCGTTCACGCGGGTGGCTGCTCCAGCCTTCTGGGGCCTGGGGAGGGCAGGACCCAGCGGGGCGGGTAACTGAGATCCATCTGCAGAGCGTTCTTGAGGGGCACCATTCGGGGGGTACCCTGGGGAAAGCTAGGACGTAGTGGGGCCCCTGTGGACGGGTCCCGGAGGCCCGCCACCCACCGCTGAGGGAATTTGCTCCACATTCTGAAAACGGGGCTGATCCCGGGCCTCCCCGCGCTTCACGATCCACTGTCATCACAGCACCGAGTCTCACTTAAAATGGGAAATTTAAGGGGGCCTTCTGCCTGTGGGGGAACCTGGGCTGTGCCCCTCACAACACCCACTTCCCCGCACCCACCGCCCGCCCTGCGCATCCCTCTGCCTCCCTCCTTGCAGGTGAGGGTTTCTGCTCTGCGTGTTCGCTACCCTGAGCCTCTCCACCTGGGCTTCCCTCTCCCCGAATCAGTCCTCCTGGCCCAGAGCTGTGTCTCCAGGCCACAGCGTCCTCCTCTCTAGGTATGAGCTGCCACTTCAGTTCCTCCTAGACCCCCTACACTACCCATATCCCAACCCTTTAACAGTCTCTCTGGGCCTCAGTTTCTTACCTCAAAAATGGGTATAATCATGGCACCCAAGTGTGAGGTTTAAGGTTTAAATCTGTTGATATTAATATAATGTTTACAATAGTATCTGGTGCATCCCTAAGGGCTAGGGGAGTGTCTGTCACTATTTTATAAATAAAATAGTATAGCATTAATTATACGTTTACATATAATTATATAATTCACATATAATTAATGTGTACAAATGTGTTTGCACATGTTTACATATAATTAATATAAGACACTCTTCTTGATGGCAGAGTCTATGCTCTTGACCTCTATGGAGATTTTGGAGCTCAGCACAAAGCTTGGATACAGTAGGCGCTCAAGCTATGTTTGTGGATGGAAAGGAAATTTGTGGAAATCCAGGCAAGGGGAGTGAAGAGACCACTTCTACCGTGGGTGCATCAGCAACCTGGGCTAGGTCCTAAGAAAGAGGGCTTCATTCCATCCCTCTCTATTCTAGCATCACAGGGAGGGAATCCTTTCTCCGATTCTATTTTTGGAGGCATGGAAAAGTCCTAGGGAGATGCCCAATGAGGCTAAACCCTCCAGGGGACCTCGGAATGGAGAAGCCCATGCATGCTGAGAAGCCCTATCACTTGGTAAAGGGGGGCCGAGTAGCCCGTCTCTGCACTGAAGGGAGCAGGGATTTGAAGGCTGGGGTGATGGGGGAGGGGAGAGAGCCTATGGTTCTTCCCAGAGAAAAGAAGCAAAGCAAGCTTAGTGGGGAAAGGCGTGGACTCTAGGGAGACCGGGCTTGAATCCTGGCTCCAACATTTGGCAGTCATCCGCTCTGGGAAAGTTCCTTAACCTGTTTGTGCCTTGACTACTCTGCAAAATAGGGATAATAGTAGTGATGGTAAGTGAGTCTAGGGAGATGATGGACAGGACGCATTTCACCCAGTGACTCTAACCTGGGGTGCTCTGCATCTCAGGAGACATTTGGCAATGCCTGGTGATAGATTTTGTTGTCAGAACTTTGGGGGCTGGGATGCTACTGGAATCGATCTAGTGGCCAAGATGTGGCTAAATATTATGTTGTTCAGGGAACGACCGCCCATGACAGTAACTTTCTGGCCCAGAATGTCAATAGTGACCATACATCAAGAACCCTGATGTCTGACACATGCTAAATACTTGCTGTGTGTTCACCTTTAGAAATATTTATATGCGGTGTGGGGTTGGAGGTACATTAGACTGGGGATTGCATCCTTTGTGGAGGTTCAGGGATGCAATCTTTATAAAGGGCTTCAATGCATACTTTCCAGTTGCTATGTTGTCATTTTATTCCTACGAAATATTGCATGGGAGATCTGAGGCTCAGGACGATGGGAAGGTCCAGAGCAGGGCCTGGGGGCCCATAACCCAAAGGACAGTGGCTACGCCAGGCTGGGAGCTGGAAAGGGCTGAGGCCAAAGGGAGGACCCAGCCCTAAAGGACTATGGTAAGAATATCCACTGTGCCTCACAGGGCCATCTCCTGTGGGTCCCACCTGAGCGAGGTCAGTCTGCAGCCAGAGTAGAGGGGGCCGACACTGGTTTTCTTGAATAAGGGTCTGAGCTGTTGAAGGAGAGGGAGGTGAGTAGAAGGACTGATCTGGACAAGGGCAGGGTTGGGGTGAACTGGGTGGGGCTGGCATCAGTTGGGAGGTAGGGAGAGGTGGGCGGGGCATGGGAGAGGCAGGTGGGGCTGGCATCAGTGGCTAGGTGGACATCAGTGGGTGGTGGAGGGATGGGGTGGGTGGTGGAGGGATGGGGTGGGTGGGGCTCTCACCAGGCTCTGCAAGGTCATCTCTGTTTCATTGAACTTGGCAGAGCCCATAAGCTGCATGTCCTCCGTGTAGCGCAGGTTGGTGATGGTGAAGTTAAGGGTGAATGGAACCAGGTCAGGGCCAGAGACTGCAGTGAGGTTGGGAGAGAAGCCATGCCCTGAGTCACTGCCTCAGCTGGATTTAGGGATGGTGGGGTAGAGTCTGCATCCACATCCCTGGTGCCCAGTGTATTCACATCTGGTGCGAGAGCTCGGAATATCTCCGCCCCAAAGGGAAACTTTGTTATTCTGCTAACAGTAATGATATTAATAATGACACTAAAAATAGCAGTAATAGTAAGACCTGATTTTTGGTAAGAGCCTATTCTGTGCTAAGAACTTTCCATCTAGGGACACGTGGGTGGCTCAGTTGGTTAAGCTGTGGCCTTCAGCTCAGGTCATGATCCTGGGGTCCTGGGATCGAGTCCTGCATGGGGCTCCTTGCTCAGCGGGGAGCCTGCTTCTCTCTCTGCCTCTGCCTGCTGCTCTGCCTACTTGTGCTCCCGCACACCTCTCTCCCTCTCTGACAGATAAATAAACAAAATCTTAAAAAAAAAAGAATTTTCCATATAGTATCTCATATCCTTAAACAAACCCTGGAAGTGAATCCTTTTACTCCAAATGACAGAGGCTGAAAATAAGTTTCAGAGAAGTCAAGTCACTTCCCCAAAACCACACAGCTATTTTGAGGCAGAAGTTCAGATTCTAGAGTTTGAATCACTTAAACTTAAGTCCTGCCCATCCACTGGCTGTTTGACCTTAGAAAAACACCTAGCCCCACATGGACCGGTCTTATGTCTCTCCTAAACAGAGAAAGATCAGTGTCCATCTGCTGGGGTCGAAGACCATACGTGTGAAGCAGGGTGTCCATGAGGTGACACATGGCCAGTCAATACTGCTCTCACTGTTCCTTACATCTGCTTCCTCTGCTTTAGTCTCTGCCCTTGGGGAATTAGTCCTGGGTTTGCCTTTGACTACATCCATTCCATTCGAGCAGAAGTTAAAGCTTTGAAAATTGTTCCAGAATGTATCACTGCATCTAATCTCACTAACTGACCCCATGGGTCCCTAAAGCCAAAAGGGTCACAATATGGTCCCTGGCTGGCCACCCAGGGTAGCCTATAAATGTGACCACAAATTCTTTACCTCTGTGGACCTGCACCCTTGGTGTGGTCTCATAGCCACTTCCACAAGTCTGTTTCTCTACCTCCTGACTCTGCTTGGCCCTGACTTGCTTTGGCCCATGCGACAAGAGAAACGTGATACAAGCAGAAACTTGGGAAGTGCCTGTGCACCGAGGCTTGCCCTCTCCTGCATCTAGGAAGCCCATGACCAGCAAATGAAAGAGCCAGAGCTAGTCTGCAGGATGGGGAGAGGCCACCTGAAGGAGACGGAGGCACCCCAGCCATCAGTCAGGCCTCCTCCAGCGCAGAGTCACCTAGCTAAGCTTCAGGTGACTGCAGACACATAAGGGAGGCTGGTTCAGGCCAGAGGAACCGCCCTGCTGACCTATATACTAGTGAGCAGCAGTAGACGATTGTCTTAATGTGAGGGTCGTCTGTTACACGGTAAACCTAGCTGATACAAAACCTTCACAGAAAGCAAAGGGGGCATTAAAAGGAGTCACTGCTTCAGCCTGGAATGGAAAAGCTAGTCACGGAGCTCCCCAAACCTAGGGATGGAGCTGGACTGGTCAGTGACGAGGGCCTGATCGGAGGATCCCCTCCTCCATGCTGTCCCCTTGCTTTGAGCTGTGTGTGCGTACTCTCTTTCCCTTCTCACTGCAAAGCACAGAGGTGGGGGAGGGGAGGAGGGAGCCACGGAGAGAAGGCTTTTACCTGTGGAGCTGGAGAAGGAGATTGGAGCTGCAGAGGTCCCTGAGGGCGTGAAAGTCACAGGAACTGAGGAGGAAGCAGCAGAAGAGATGAGGGAGAGAAGGAAGGAAGAGAGGAAGAGGAAGAGAGATGGGGCCCTGTCTCCTTGGAGATGCCAGAGGCAGGGGTGCTTGATGCCCAGCCGGAGTCACAGAAGGCAGAGGTGGGGGAAGGCAGGTGACCAGGCAGCTAAGGCTCCCTTCCTCCCAGAAGCCCTGGGCTTAGGGCAGAGGGAGCAGCTGTTCCCACAAGGTATGGGGGGCATGGAGCCATCCAGGATTTGAGCACTTACCACTGGGGATGGAGGTCAGTGGTGGTCTGGTGTAACCTACAGGGGGTGGATAAAAGGGAGGTGGGATGTTTGAGAGGCTTAAGCAGGGGATGAAGGGGCTGGGCCATTGGTGGAACAACAGTTGCCATCATGAGGTCCTCTCCCTGCCCGACAGTGGGTGGTGCCTCCTATAACATTTCTCTGACCTCCCACCTCCCTGTGGGTGATGTAGCCTTTGGTAGGGAAGGGGGATCTCACAAGGAAAGGAAGAATGAGGAGAGAAAAGTCTAGAAGCAGACATGGATGTATCCCTCTGGCCAGAGAATCAAGAGAATAGAGCATCAAGAGAATAATCCATCTGGGGTGCAGGACAAGACCCCTGTCACCACCAGATGCTCACCGTTGACATAGAGACTGTCCCTGTCCAGGATGTAGGAACCAAGCTGAGTGACACCATGGGTCTGGTGGCTCAGCTCCCAGTAGAGCCGCTCCCTATCCAGCTGGAGACCCGAGGAGTCAGGTTGGTAGGTGCAGACAGCGTCCACTCCAGTGGCTGTTTCACTCTTTTCAGGCCTGGGGGGAGAAGGACATGAGTATGGGAACAGGACTGAGGGACATCCCTGCCAGGACATCCTTTCATCAGCCCACTTGTATATGAATACCTGCTTATCTGCTCTCCTGGTCCAGACATGTGCTGCTCCTAAGAGAATGGGCATCCTTGTGCAACAAAGGACCAGAGTGGGTATTCCAAAGTCAAATGACCACCAGTTCAAACCTTCGCTCCATCACTTACCGAATAATCCACCTAAGTGTGCCTGACTTGGTTCTCTCACCTTTGCAGCATGGATAGTGGTCTAACCCTATTGCTGGAATGTCTTGAGGTTCAGAAATGACTGACATACCACACCTAGCTCTGGTGCCAAATACCCATTAATTAACTGTTTAATAAAACAAATATTCACGGAGCCAAACACTGACAGTCCCTAGCACTGGGGAACAGCTCTGCAGATTCATCAGCTCTTGAAAAGCTGATCTAACCCAATTTTTGGACCTGAGCACCTGAGCATGAGATGCTACATAGCAAAGACCCCCACCCACAGCCCACCTGCTTCCTGTATTCCCAGGTATATGGGGGAAGGAGGTAGGAAAAATTAATCCTGAAGGGAAAACCTGGGGGATCCAGCAGGTCGCACTGCCAAGGGTATTACTGGGGAGAAACAGAGTATCCCTTGCACGATCAGCAGTGACCTTGAGCCAAGCTGCTTCCAGCTCTGGTCTCCTAGAAACTTGATAAAGATGCAATGTCAGTTGTGTTGACTGGTGATGTTGCTTATGGTGAAAATGACCCCTTGCTGATGACTGTGTCTTTTCTGGGAGGGTGGAAAATAGACAAGAATATCTTGCTTGCAGGAGGCTCTAGCTTTGGGCTTCCTTAGGTATGGTAAACCTCTTAACTGCTCAGGACGCTTACAAGAGATATTGGTTACCTTTTGGGACCTAAGACATGTAAGACGTCTATCCACTGAGGTTACTTTTCCCTTTTAAAAAATTTAATTTAATTGTTTAAATTTAAGTTAAAGTTAACATATAGCATATTATTAGGTTCAGGATAGAATTCAGTGATTCATCAGTTGCATGTAACACTCAGTGCTCATCCCATCCTGGGTCCTCCTTAATGCCCATCCCCCAGTGAGCCCATTTGCCCACCCCACCTCCCCTCCAGCAACCTCCACTGAGGTTGTATTTCTTTGCACATTAACTGTCACCTGGATGCCAAAAGAATAGTCCTTAGACTGCCAAGAAGGCTCTTACAAAAAAAAAGAATGCCCTGTGCTACCCGCTGACATGTCCTTTCCTGTCTGTGTATGGCCCTATTCAGGTCACATAAGCCTGATCCTCTGATTGGGCTTAAGATAACCTAGAGAGGGGAGCACAGGGGACTGGCACCAGAGCTGGGAACTGTGTGAAACCAGCAAGGTGCCTGGATATGGTATCTAAGGGAGTGCTTACTCTCGGGGCTGTGCAGAGGCAGGGCTAACCCTGAGGGTGAGTGATTCCTTCAAATCTCTGCCGCAGGCATCTTGCTTGCTTCCCTAGTCCGGGCCCCTGGCCAGTCCAACCCAACGAGCCCACGCCTGCCTCCACCTCCTAACGCCAGACAAAGAGGAGGTCTCACCTTAGCGTGGTCACTCTGCAGCCAGTGTAGAGTGACCCAATGCTGCTGTTGGCAAACAAGGGCTTGAGCTGAGGAGGAAGAAGCGGGTGAATGAAAAAGAAGTGGAAAAGCAACCACCATTTTAAAACACGAGATTTTCAGATAAAACAGCAGTTCTCCAATCATCTCAGTATGACACTGAATTCTCAGAAGAACCCTTTGGGATCAAGGCTTCTCTTGTCTCAGTGTACAGAGGAGGAAATGGTACTGAAAAGGCAAGATCATGACTCCAAAGGGACGTCGCTGGCCTGTGGCAGTTCCAAGTTTTGAACCCAGAAACAGTCTGCTCTTCAAGCCCTCTGTATCCTCCAAAAGGGTAGTAAGGAAACTCAGAGAGGATGGGGAGGGAGTCCGAGAAGAGGGATGGGTAGAAGAGGGCTCTCACCAGGCCTTGTATGACTGACTCTGTGGAGTTGAACTTCGCAGAGCCCGGCCGCATGGCCTTCGTGTAATGCAGGTTGATGATGGTGAAGTTGAGGGTGAAGGGTACCGGGGCAGGGCCAGCAGCTGCAGTGGGGCAGGAGGAAAAAGAGGCCATGCCCTGAGTCAGGCCTGGACCAGAAGTGGGGCAAAGGCCCCCGGGACACAAGCCCAGCCTGCTCAGAGGACCCCATCATCTCGGCGATACCAAGGAGAGGCTGCCCTCTCCTGGGACTCCCTTGAGTCCCATCTGGGCCTGGAGATGGGGGGTAGGGGGTGGGGAGTGGAGGTAGTGGTTTATTCTGTCACCCATGGTCTCTGGCTTTGGCCACATAGGGAAAGGGAAGATGCTGGTGTCTGGGTGTTACATAAAGAGCCAGACATGGTGTCTGCCTATGGGCTCATGGGGTATTTAATTCTTCACAGTGGGCTGGGACCCGTGAGCTCAAAAGCCTGCCAGGACAAAACTCAATTTTTTTTCCCCCAGCTGCCATATATCTTTTTATTTTTTTAATTTATTTTTAAAATTTCATTTTCTGTTTCCAGTGTTCCAAGATTCATTGTTCATGCACCACACCCAGTGCTCCATGCAATACGTGCCCTCCTTAATACCTACCACCAGGCCCACCCATCCCCCCATGCCCTCCCCTCCCAAACCCTCAGTTTGTTTCTCAGAGTCCACAAACTCAAATTTTTATATCCAGGTGTGTGTGTGTCTGTGTTTTTTAAAGATTTTATTTACTTATTTAAGAGAGAGTGAGCAAGCAAGAGAGAGCACAAGAGTGGGGAGGGGCAGAGGGAGAAGCAGGCTCCCCACTGAGCAGGGAGCCCCCATTGCTCCTAGACAGGAGGATGTCTTCTCTGACCACTCCCTTCCCCTGGAGTCCCCTTGCCCTTCTCCCCTTTTGAGTAGGGATCACCCCCCAGAAATCCCTCAAAACCCCTACCTGGGGTTGAACTGGAAGAATAGGTGAGAAACCCATAGCTCGGGACCATAAGACTATCTTGGCTTGACCAGTTTCTCCCGCCTACCAGGGCCTCTTTGAAGACCACCCCCTACCCCCCTAGACAGGTTCAGCCTTCAATGCCAAGTTTGAAAATTTGCCTCAGGAACAATTTGCTCACTAACAATTTTCCCCCCAATGTATTCATTTAATAAGAGTTACCTTGTGAATAATTCCTTTCAAGAATATTCTTATACAAGACAAAATCAGACAGGGAGACAAACCATAAGAGACTCTTAACTCTAGAAAACAAACTGAGGGCTGCTGGAGGGGAAGTGGGGAAGAGGGTGGGAGGATGGGGTCACTGGGCGAAGGGCATTAAGGAGGGTACAGGACTTAGTGAGCGCTGGTGTCGCATGTAACTGAGGAGTCACTGAATTTTACCTCAAAACTAATAATACACTATAGGTTAATTAGTTGAGTTAAAATAAAATAAAAGTAAAAACAGAGCTTCCCTATGACCCTGCAATTGCACTACTGGGTATTCACCCCAAAGATACAGATGTAGTGAAAAGAAGGGCCATCTGTACCCCAATGTTCATAGCAGCAATGGCCACGGTCGCCAAACTGTGGAAAGAACCAAGATGCCCTTCAACGGACGAATGGATAAGGAAGATGTGGTCCATATACACTATGGAGCATTATGCCTCCATCAGAAAGGATGAATACCCAACTTTTGTAGCAAGATGGACGGGATTGGAAGAGATTATGCTGAGTGAAATAAGTCAAGCAGAGAGAGTCAATTATCATATGGTTTCACTTATTTGTGGAGCATAACAAATAGCATGGAGGACAAGGGGAGATGGAGAGGAGAAGGGAGTTGAGGGAAATTGGAAGGGGAGGTGAACCATGAGAGACTATGGACTCTGAAAAACAATCTGAGGGTTTTGAAGGGGCGGGGGGTAGGAGGTTGGGGGAACCAGGTGGTGAGTATTATGGAGGGCACATATTGCATGGAGCACTGGGTGGTGCAAAAACAATGAATACTGTTATGCTGAAAAGAAATAAAAAAATAAAATAAAATAAAAGTAGAAATAAAAAAAAAGAATATTCTTACTCAAAAGTATATTTAAAGCAAGCAGGCAAAACTGCCTTCTGTTGTCTTTAAAAATCAATGTCCTAATAAAAACAGGGTGGTACGTGGCATTATTCTAAAATTAGACGCTAAAAAGACAATCACCTAATCAATATGGAAAGCTTGACTAAATCCTGGTTTGAAAAAAGCCACCTATACAAGGGAGACATTGGGGAAAATGTGAATATGAATGCCATGCTAGATGACACAAAGTATTCCTATTTTTTGAAGCATGGTAATGCTATTACAGTTACATTAGGCAATGTCCTAATTTTGTGACAGTTCTTGCTGAAATCCTTAATAGTGAAGCATCGTGATATTTGCAAGTTTCCTATGGTTCAGGAAAAAAATTATGTCTACCACTTTCTATAGTCAGTTCTGCCATAATGCTTGTTTTGAAAACACAGTTCTTCAGGGTCCCTGAGACATTAGGGAACAAAGTGAGCATTATATAAATTTCCCGTTGGGGCATGTGTAATTTTGTCTGCAAGACACACAAAAGGAACACCAGTTAAACCCAGAACCCAGCTGAACCTAGCTCTGTGGGCATACACAAAATGCACACACACAGCTCCACCCTCTACCGGCTTAATCACACCCCCGAGATGTTAGGGGGGTTACCTTTACCCACCTTGGGTTCCCAGTTTCTGGAGGATTTCGGGCAACCCTCCTGAACTTCACAATTACTTACCAGCTTCAATCTGTTTGCTGACATGACTACTTCTACAACAAATGTCAGGTCTCTTTCTGGGAAAAGCGCTATATTTACTGCAGTAATTTATGTTGTATTTCTTAGCCATTTAACATAAGTAAAACTGTGCTGTTTTATTAGAGGTCTGGTTTTTTTTTTATTTTTTTTTAATGTCACTGACAAGGTTTTTGGGTGTTGAGGCTCAGCCTCAGCCCTGTGCTTTTCTCCAGTGTGTGATTTTGCATAGCATAGTTTGGGGACATCCATGCTGTATCATAACAGAACTATGTACAAGAAGCAAGAAAGACAGAAGGTCAACCACTGTGGTGGACAGATGGATGTTCCTCACACTATTTTTTCAATGTTTCTGCTACTTTTGACAGTTTTCATAATAAAAAGGGGTGGGGGGGGACAAACACACACAAAATATTCATGAAAAGTGGAAATGACCCCATGGTCCCTAGACTTTGACAGATAAATAATGAATCTTGGAACACTGAAAAATAAAATAAAATTTAAAAAATTCCTTAAAGTGCCACTAAAATGAAATGATTATATGCATTGACTCTGGTCAGGGAGACGATGTATATTCATAAGGAACCAAGTCATAAAGATGTTATAAGAAGAATAAAGTCATATCTATTGAATATATTCACAGAGACTCTTCCTTAAAACAAGCGGTTGGTAAATCAGTTAACTGGGGACACTGAAGAAGAATCGATCCTTTACTGAGTTGGCTTTGGCAAACTGGCCACTGGACAAATCTATTATCAATGAACCAATCTGTACTCTACTTTCCATGGGTTGCAGGATGATTGGGAAGTCAGGGGTCCCCTATAGGTTTCAGACAGGTTACAGAGAATGGCTCAGGTCCCCCAGTGCTGGGAGTGGGATTGGTGTTCAAGAAATCCCCAGGACCTGGGTAGTGCCCAGCAGATTCTCAAGAGTTGGCCTTGGGCTCCCCCAAGAGATGCCACCCATTCTACTTCTCCTCCCATGTCCTGGGAATAGGGCCCAGCAGGAGTAGTTGGGAGCCTCTTCAGAGGAGAGAACGCCTACCTGTGGGACTGGAGAAGGAGGCTGGCACCCCTGCAGAAACTGTGGCCACCATAGAAGCTGGAGAGAAAAAACCCAAGAGCTTGGGGGTGGGGATTCCTCACCCTGCGGATACCAGCGAGGGGGTGGTCATGCCAGGCAATTTCTTGGGCATAGGTCCCTGTTCACCCGAGGCTGGGGTAGAGCAGGGGTGCGGAGGGCAGGCAGCTGGCTCCTGGCCGCTTCCATTCTAGGGTTGCAGAGGGAACCACAAGGTTTCAGAGACTTTGGAAGCCTCTGGACACTCACCACTGGGGGTGGTAGCCTGGGTTTGGCGGGTGTAACCTGCACAGGTAGAGCGAGAAAGGGTGAGGAGGGCGAGTAATGAGCGAAACAATAGAGGGGAGGATGTGGGGACTGTTGAAAGGTGGACACAGATGGTAATCCCTCACCATTGATGTAGAGACTGTCTGGGTCCAGGGTGTAGGGACCCAGCCTGGTGATGCCGCGGGTCAGCTTACTCAGCTCCTGGTACAGCCGCTCTCTGTCCAGCCCAGGGCCCACGGGGTCAGGGCGATGGGTGCAGATGGCATCCACTCCAGTGGCCGCCCCATCCTTCTCGGGCCTGGGGGTGGGTGGGTAGGGGTAACAACAGATGGAGTCCCCAGGCAGGGTGCCTGGCCCCTCTGGAGCAGGACAGGAAGGGGCCAGAGCAAGCGAGAAGGCTGGCACCCACCTCTGGCCAGCCTGGGGCTGTGCACACAGTCAGTGGGTGGGAGGATTTTTATTAAATTGCAGGTCTGAAACCTGCAAGCTGGGGGACAGGAGAGCTCCTACTTGAGACAGGTGAAGAGCTGGAATTTGGGATTAAAGCAAGTGGAAAAGGCATGCTTGTCTTGAGAGGAATCCTGGGGATGGAACTGAAAACCTAAAGGAAATGCCCTCTTTGGTCAAAGGGAGGTAGGAGGGAATTTGGAAGGATGACTACCCTAGGGTCATATCCTGCTGAGGGGCTCCCTAGAACGTGGGGACAGTTGGTGGGGTTGGGGGTGGTTGCAATCAGAAGAGACCTTGGTCCTGGAGCCAGTGGTTCCTGAATTCCACCTCTTCTGAGAACATGGACAGAGAAGGAAGGAAGCAGAGGGAACTCCTGGGGTCTGGGAGCCCTTGAGGTGGTCCTGGCCTGGGATTGCAAGGACTCACCTGAGCAAGGTCAGCCTGCAGCCTGAGTAGAGGGGCCCCACACTGGTGTTCTTGAACAAGGGTCCAAGCTGTGAAGGAGAGGGAAGTGAGTAGAAAGTCTGAGGGGTGGAGAGCAGGGTGAACATGAGATGGGTGGGGCTGGTGCCAGTGGGTGGGGCTTGAATGAGGCAGCACAGGTGAGTAGGTGGGGTCTTTGTGGGCATGGCAGAGAGCAGGGAGGTGGTGCTTCAGTGGACAGGCAGGAGTGCTGTGGGCGGGGCACTCACCAGCCTCTGCAGGTTTCTCTGGGTGCTGTTGAACCTCCAGGAACCAGGGCGACTCATACCTTCCTGGTGCTGCAGGTTAGTGATGGTGAAGTTGAGAGTAAACGGCACCGGGGCAAGACCAGTGGCTGCAGTGGGAGCAGGAGGAAGACACCAGAGAGCCTAAGTGTGGGTCATCCCACATCTGTCTCTTCAAGCACTGGCGAGGGGTTTCCTCCCAGATGGGCAGTTTCCATAGGAAGGAGATCCCAGACATTAGCATTACGTGAGGGGCTCTGGGGATGAGTGTGGAAAATTACACAATGGAGGTAAATGCAGCCTTACACAGCCTTACACAGCCTAAGCAGTTGGCTAAAATTCTTGACAGACATCCCCTTTTCCTGAGGGTATTTTTTTTTTTAACCCAAATTATTTCTGTGAGATCCAATTATTTACTGATTTTTAAAGATTTATTTGAAGAAATACATTGCAGTTTGTTTGGGCCAGGCCCTGTTTTAAGTGCTTCACTTAAATTTTAACCCATTTAAGCCTTGAGGTAAACCCTTCAGAGGGAGATAGTATTCTTATCCCCATTTCACAGATGTAAATACTGAACCCAAGAATGGTTAAAGAATCTGCCTGCAGTCACACAATCTATAAAGGGCAGAGCAAATCTAAAAAGGGCAGTTCAAAACTGGGTGTTGTGGTCACAGAGTCTGTGCTCCTAACCCATCCACCCAAGCACTAAGGGCGGGTCCACACAGTGACCTGCTCACTCTGGCCTGAGTGGTCAGTGGTCAAAACACCTTCAAGAGGCCTTCGCTGCTGAGTAACTAGAGACTCAAGTAAGACAGCATTAGTAATGATGGGTCATCCAGGACCCTCAGTAGGGTCAGTAGGTGATATCAAAATCTACTTTGGGCCACTGAGATGCCAAGAATGGGAAGTTATCCCTTGGCCCAATCAGAGTCTGCCCAATCGGAGTCTCTAATAGGGATTTGTAAGAGGGCATTTTCAGGTACACATGTAGCTCACTCTGCTCCCTTCTTTCTTGGAAATGAAAAACAAGTACTCAGGAGAAAGGACCCCCCCGCCACACCTGCAGAACTCACCCCACAATCATGCTGATTGTAATTCAATTCTTATTTGTATACTCAAGTCCTTATTCTCTTTCTTGCTGGAAACCCATCAAAGACTAGGGTCCTTTCTATTCTGTTCGCTGCTGCCTTACCAGGGCCCGTCACCTAGTAAGGGCTAAATGAATGCTTCTTGAGTGAAAGAATGAATGAATGAATGGGCATGGTACTTCATGTGATACCTCCCACTGGCCAAGTGCAGGAGACCTTTGCAAGAGAGGAATAACAGAGAGGAAGCTCCTACCTGTGGGGGCAGGGATGGGGGTCGCTGAGGTTGCTGGGGATATGGTAGAGGCTGGTGAAAAAAAAACACAGTGAGGCAAATATGGCAGGAGGGAGGGCCTCCCCAATGACATAGGGCCCATTGTGGGTCCATGAGACACTCCTCAGGCCTGTGCCAGGCTTGTCTTTTCAGATCCTGGGAGTGAAGATGGGGGAAACCCTGGAGCTTTCCAGGCTCTTTGTGTCCCTGGGGACATGAGGTAGGTGTAGCGAGCAGGAGAGATGGGCCCCAAGGCAGAGCAATGCTAGGGCCCAAATTACTACTCACTGCTGGGGGTGGAGGTCAGGACCTGATGGGTATAACCTGCAGAACGACAGGAAGAGAAAGTATGAAGAGTTGTAAGGATGGGGTAAGGAAGGGAGTGGCAAAAATCTGGGGTTCCTTGGGTGTCTATGAATCTATTTATGTAAGCTGCATTTAGAGAACACCTTCAAATTGCAGACCCAGTAGACAAAGTCCAGAAAATTCCACCAAGACCTAGGGAGGAATTCTCTACCAGGTCATCCGCAGACTATCTCTCTGCCACCTGCAACCCTCCTCTTCCTCGAGTGTTTGATCCCTCAGTGAATCCCCAGAAGAGCTGTGAATGTACACTTCCTCTGCAGGCCAAACTCACTACTGACTTTTCCTGGACACTGGTCAGGAGGAGATGTGAACAGGCTTTACCAAGCTGAGCTTGAGTCATGACCCAGCTGAGCTTGAGCAGAGTCTCCCTACTCATGAATGCCTTCCAGGAAAACCAGAGAGCCTTCCACCCATCAAGGAACCTAATTTCCGTGAATTCTGTCCCACAATCCCACAGCAACTTCAACTGAATTGGTAGCAACTGCCTAGGGTATTTCGTTGGTAAGGATTCTCAAGCTGCTTTGAACTCGGAAAGAATGGAGGCTATTACCATTTAGTGATGTCTGTCATGGACGAGGGATTGGGGAGTAATGGCACAGATGTCATATATTTGTCCTGGACATAATCTGAGAGTCATTAAAGATTTGAACAAGGACAAGGAGGGAATATTTCCACATATTACAAGGAAGTGTATTTCATTCCTTCTAATCCTGAGAAAATCCACATACTTCCCGTGGACTTACCAAGCACAAATAACCTAACGACACCTTCATTATCATCACCATCACTATTATCATCACCATCACCATCATCACCACTATCATCATCACCATCATCATCATCACCACCATCATCATCACCACCACCATCATCAACGCCACCACTACCATCATCACCACCATCACGATCATCACCACCACCACCACCATCACTACCACCACCATCATCACTACCACCACCATCATCACTACCACCATCACCATCATCACTACCACCACCACCAACATCACCATCACCATCACCACCACTACCATCATCATCATCACCATCATCATCACCACCACTACCATCATCATCACCACCACCATCATCATCATCACCACCATCACCACCACCATCACCATCACCATTATTATCATCATCACCACTACCACCATCACCACCATGATCATTATCATTATCACCGTCACCACCATTACCACCATCATCAACATCACCATAGTCATCATTATATATAGCTTTATGAAGGCAATGACTTTTTTCTGTTTTGTGTTCCCTGCTGTATTCCCCAGGACCAGGCACAGAGTAGATGCTCAATGAAGGTTGTTGACTGACTCATTATCACTAGATTTACTACGACTTTCCATCTTTATTTGAATGAATAATGTCGAATGTGTTTACACTCCTCAGGTCTCCTCTAACAGATGTGCCATTGACTGGTACTTACCCATGGGGCTGGAGCTGGGAAAGGAGGATGGAGTCCCAGAGGTACCCAGGTGCACTGTAGAGGTCCCTGGAGCTGAGGAAAAGCTCTCATCAGTGAAAGGAGAAAGGCAATCTCATGGCAGAAATGCCAACAAGAGAGACTACTTATTAGGCTTTCATGTGGGGCTTGAACTGAGATTCCCTTTGGAACTGGGGCAGAGAGGATAGTAAATAACTCGTGGCCTCCCAGGAGCTCTGTCCCTCCTGGAGGTGACATAAGCAGGCATAAGGAGGCATCAAGGCTTTGCCTGCCCTGTGTGTTGAGGGACCCTGGGTCATAGTTGAATACTCACTGTTGGTGATGGGTGCAGAGCTCTGATGGGTGAAACCTGTAGGGAGAGGGAGAGGGTGTTGTAGGTAAGGGTTAAAGAAGAGGTGGAGGACCAAACAAGAGGCAGGGCTACCCTGGAGCAGTGGAGGGGATTCTAGCAGGGGGTGTTATCATCTTTCTCCATCAGCACCTGTTGGGAAGGAAGGCTATGAGGGTGAAGTCAGTCCAAGATGAAGAGGAAACCATGAATGAGCACACAGAGTGCGCGGGGCCAAGCCCTGAAGGGCCCCACAGGGCATGCCTTCTCAAGCCAAAGGACAGAGGCTGCCCAAGGAGGGAGAAGAGACTCTGACCACATCACGGTGCTCACCATTGACATAGAGACTGTTCCTGTCCAGGGTGTAGTGGCCCAGCAGGGCAATGCCATGGGTCAGCTGGCTCAGCTCCCAGTACAGCTGCTCTCTGTCGAGTCCCAGGCCTTCAGGGTTGGGGTGATGCATACACATGGCATCCACTCTGGTGGCTGCCCCATCCTTCTCAGGCCTGGATAAGAATCATCACATAGTTGGTCTAACCATCTCTCTCTCTATTGGTCCTTCCCTCTCTCTCCTTGCCAGCCCCTAAGGCAGAAACTGGGGAAACCCTAGGTAACAGAAGCTGCCGCCATGAGGGAGACGCCCTCCATAAACAGCTAGCCTCCTGCATGCCTGGGAGAGGAGCCTCTGAAAGCCCTGGTGTGTGGCAGAACACTGAGGGTATGTTGATGGGGTGAGCAATCCTAGAAGGTGCCACCTGCAGCCACAACAGCTACATACCATCACAGGTCTTGATGGGCACAACAAGGTGCCTGGGGGTCATGCTGCAATGGGTGTTGGTGGCCCCAGGACAGGGACCGCAGCATGGTTTGGTGACATTTTCCTGTAGAGAGTTGGGGTTTTCAAATAGTGAGATCGAAAAGCTAAAGTCACTGAGTCTGGATGCAGGGCTGGGGCATTTCTAAAGACTCAACAGACTAAATGGCTGGAGAGACACACAGGCCCTTTGGGTGGGTCTGTCTGAAAGCGTGACCTGTCCATGTCTCAGCACCAGCTCTGGCCACAGGACACTGACCCACCTACATGCCCACCCAGCCATACACTCCTGAGAGATATGGAGAGAAAGGTGCTCCCACTCCAGGGCCATGGATAGAATGTCTCTTATAATAACAACCACCCCTTGTTAAATTCTGAGCACGCAGCTGGCCCAGAACTTTGTACTCATGATCGCAGAACCTAACCCTCAGAGCGTCCCTGTGGGCTGTATTGCTCAACTCCCACAGTTGTCACTATACCCATCACACTATATATCATACACAATGCAATTAGACATAATATAATATAATGATCTATTTAACATGTAAGTATATGACATAGATTTGTTACATATTTATTTTGTTTAATTTATTATTGTATTATATGTTATACCTTTTGTACTTATTCCTAATATATAGAATAGATAATATATATTAGGGTTCATATCTATACATATCATATATAAAAGATACTATACCTATACATAATATACCTATATATAACATATATAACATAAGCCTGTATATAAAATATAGGCATAATTATATATTATACCTGTATATCATATTATCTATACTTAGGTAATATGTATATTATATGAGATATAATATACATTAGGAATCATACCTATATATGTCATATATATTAGATATACCTACATATAACATATTACACCTATTATGTCTATATATAACATGTGTAATATATACCTACATATTAAGTATAGGTATAATTATATATTATACTTATTATATCTATATACATAATATATATTATATATAGGCATATATATTATAGTTATATATATTATATATAGGTATAATGTATATATATTATAGTTGTATATATTTTATATATATAGGTATTTTTTATATATATATATGGTATAGATATAAGATATACTATAGAATTATACCTATTCTTTCTCTCTCTCTGTTTGTGTGTGTGTGTGTGTGTGTGTGTGTGTGTGTGTATACAGTTAACTTTTGAACAACATGGAGTTGAGGAGTACCAACACCCAACACAGTTGAAAATCTGCATATAACTTTTGACTTCCCCAAAACTTAACTACTAATAGAATGCTGCTGACCAGAAGCCTTACTGATAACACAATTAACATATTTTTATGGTATAAGTATTATATACTGTTTTCCTACAATAAAGTAAGCTAGACAAAAATGTTAAGAGAATCATGAGAGAAAATACATTCATAGCACTGCACTATATTTATCAAAACAAAATCCATGTATACGTGGACCCATGCTGTTCAAACCCACGCAATCCAAGGGTCAAATCTTTCTCTCCATATACACACATATGTTCATGTGCATATGTTATGTATGGGCCTAATATATCATATACATAACACGCAGAGTCATGGGGGCACAGCTAGGTTCAGGCACCTGCCCAGGATCTCAGCAAATGACAGAGCTGGAGTTTGAGCTCCGCTCTGGCTTTCCCAAGGCTCTTGGCCACTAGGCTCTTCTGCCCGCTCTTCCCCCAGGAAGGAAGGAGAGCTGGAGGTAGATGCCTGTGATCAAACGGGAGTGTGAGGAGAGCCAGACCTAGAGATTCTAGAGAGATGTGGGAGGTGAGAATGCCAGGTATGGAATGGTGTCAACCACCCACCTCCCCCACCCCCAGTGCACCCAAGGGATGGTGTCCTCCACAAGCCTGAACCATTCCAGGGCAAGTCAGACCTCCCATAAGTCTGAGCCATCTAGGAGCCCACGTTCGCTCTGCAACAGTGTGCTTGCTTTCCTTCCCTCTTTGATTCTTCCCTCTTAGAGTTTGCCAGATAGGTGATTTCCACATGCTGCCAGGTCATAATGAGGCAGAGGAAGGCAGCACTGTTTAGGAGCTAGGACTTGGGCTCTAGAACCTGCAGTGCAGGTTCAATCCCTCTGAGCCTGTCGCACCTTTGGTTCCTGCTCCATGAGGCTGTCCTGAGGGCTGGCAGGGTGAAATGGAAGGTACTAGCCCAGTGCCTTGGATCTTAGGAATTGCTAGAGGCTAGGGTTGTTACTGTTGATGATGGTGTGTGATACCCATTGGCAGTAGTTGTCCCAAGTATGGACGAAGTCAGGGAGCCCATAGATGAAGGTCCCATACACCTGCTGGGCTGTGTTCTTGGGGAGAGAGACTCACCTGAGGGAAGCCAGTCTACAGCCTGAATAGAGGAATCCCAGACTGCTATTCCTGAACAGGAATTTGAGCTATGAGAAAGGAGAGGGGAGGTGAGAAGGAACACTTGAAGGAGGCCACGGGGAGCTGGGGTATTGGTGAAGTGAATGGGACAGAAGTGATATGGGCATGGGTGGGGGCAGAAGTTAGGTGCAGGGCTGGCACCAGTGGGCGGGGCTCTTACTAGACCCTGCAGGATCTTCTCTGTGGAGTTGAATTTCCAAGAGCCTGGATGCCGCATGCTCTCTTCGTAGTGCAGGTTGGTTATGGTGAAGTTGAGGGTGAACGGCACCAGGAAAGGAACCGCTGCTGTAGCAGGGGAAGGGAAAAGGAGGCCATGCCTGAGTCAGGCCGGGGCTGGTCTCTAAGACAACTTCTGGGGACAGGGATGGAGGATCCAGATATTGGGAAGCAGGGGGTCAGAGTAGGCACATAGGCCAGCTGCCTTAGGACCAAAGACAGATGCCAGATAAAGAGCAAAGCCAGATGCTATTAAATGCAGTACATTTAATTAAAATACAGCACATCTACTGGGATATTAGGTTATTACAGAAAGAGAAAGAGAGAAAGAATGAAGGAAGGCAGGCAGGCAAAAATAAATATTGGCAAAGATGTGCAGAAATTGGAATCCTCATGCATTGTTGGTGGGAATGCTGGTAGAGCTGCTACAGAAGACAGTCTGGTTGTTCCTCAAAAAGTTAAATATGGGATTATCATATACCTAGCAATTTTGCTCCTAGGTATAGACTCAAAAGAACTGAAAACAGGGACTCATATCCTTGAATAAAAAATGTTCACAACAGCATCCTTCACAATAGCCAAAAGGTGGAAACAACCTGAGCCCATCAGCAGAGGAATGGATAAACAAAAGACGGCATATACATGCAGTAGAATAATAGTCAGCCATAAACATGAGGGAAACTCTGACACCTGCCACATCACGGATGAACCGTGAAAATATTACACTAAGTGAAATAAAACAAACATGGAAGGACAACTATGGTATGGTTCCACTTCCAGGGGGCACTTAAAATAGGCAAATTCATGGAAAAAGAAAGTAGACTAGAGGTAACCAGGGCCTGGGGGTAGGGGTTATAGGGAGTTAGTGTTCAATGGGAACAGAGTTTCTGTTTGGGGTAATGAAGAATTCCTGAGAATGGATAGTGGTGAGTGGCATGACATTGGGAATGTCACTAAATTGTACACTTAACAGTGGTTAAAATGGTAAATTCTATGTTATGCATAAAATTGTTTAATTCAGCAATTGGGTCAAAATGCAGGTCATGGGGCTCTTGAATCTGGATGTGGGCCAGGGTAGGTGGCAGGGGTTGAGGTCTTGGGCCCTGGTGAGGCTCTAGACTGGCCCTTGATAGTTTCTACTTGAGAAGTTAAAAGTAACAGGATTGGAGCCATCTCATGGATTAGGGGGGAAAGAAAAGGAAAAAAAAATCAGTTCAGTCCCATCCAACACAGAAGAAAGATTCTCTTTTTAATATGAGTCAAACAGCAATTCTTAAAGGAGGTCTCCTGTCTTCTGCTCAACCTACCCTACCCCGCCCACCCCATAACTCTCAGGATTTGACCTTTCGTAGAGACCATGCATAGAGCTGTGGTTACTATGATTACCAACCACCACACTATAGTGAGTCGGACTTGGTTTCAAATTCGCTCTGTCCTCTCCCCAGGAGACGTGACCATGGACACTAAAACTGTCTGTATGGTAGTCCCCTTTAACTGCAGCTTCATTTTCCATGGTTTCAATTATCTGGAGTCAACCACAGCCTTGAAGCGGACGGTCCTCCTTCTGAGGCATCATCAGGAGATCAGTAGCAGCCTAACACTACGTCATTCATCTCACCACATCTCATATCCTAGGCATTTCATCATCTCACGTCATCACAAGAAGAAGGGTGAGTACGGCATAATTAGGTATTTTGAGAGAGACCACATTCGCATAACCTTTATGACAGTATATTGTTATAATTGTTCTATTTTTTAAAAGATATTATTTATTTATCTGACAGACAGAGATCACAAGTAGGCAGAGAGGCAGGCAGAGAGAGAGGGAAGCAGGCTCCCCACTGAGCAGGGAGCCCGATGTGGGACTCGATCCCAGGACCTTGAGATCATGACCTAAGCGAAGGCAGAGGCTTAACCCACTGAGCCACCCAAGCACCCAACTGTTCTATTTTATTATTAGTTATTGCTTTAATCCCTTCCTGTGCCTAGTTTATAAATTAAACTTTATCATGGGCATGTATGCATAGGAAAACACATGTACATATAGGAGCCTGTACTTTCCATGGTTTCGGGCATCCACTGGGGGTCTGGGAACAAATCCCCCATGGATAAGAGGGGACCACTCTTCATTTCCTCATACCTTCATTTCCTCAACTATAAAATGGGGGAATAGCTTACTTTGTAGAGAAATTTTTAAGGTTAACTGGCTGCTTGTTAAAAGAGTTAGTATGTTTTAAGGGCACTGTGCTGAGTGAAAAAAGCCAGTCCCCAAAGGTCACAGGCTATATGATGCCATTGACACAACATTCCCAAAATAACAGATTAGTGGTTGCCAGGGTGAAGCTGGGTGGGTGTGATGGTAAAAGATCTTTGCAGTGATAGAACTGCTCTGTACCTTGACTGCAGTGATGCTTACAAAAATTTGCCTATGTAATAAAATGCCGCAGACCCACACATGCGCATGTGGACACGTGCGCATGCGCAAGTGCACGCCCACTCGTGTCCACGTAAAACCAGTAACTTCTGAAATCTGAGGTCTGTAGGTTTTCACATTTAATTTCCGGGTTTTGATATGATACTATAGTTATGTAAGATGTTAACCATTGAGGAGAAATTGGGTGAAGCCTACAGGGAACTCAGTACTACATTTTGCAGTTTCCAATGAATCTTTATTGATCACAAAAATGAAATGAAAAATTAAAATAAAAAAATTAAAAAGAATACTACGCAGTGTGGCGTGTTTAGGTGCTGAATAACATGGTTATCTTTTATCATTAATTATAACTGCATATTCAGTTCCAGTCTCTCAATACACTGGAACTCGGTGAGGGGAGGGACCTCACCTGACAGAGCACCTTCCCCCCCTGCCTGGCCCAGGTCACATGCCCTGTCATGTGCCCAGTATGACAGTATCCGTCATACTGTATTCCCTGCTAGCTCCAGGGATGTGTGCTTCCATATGTTTTCATTCAACCTTCACAGCGACCTTGTGAAGTATGGTTATTCCACTTGGCAAGTAAAGACATTGAGACACTGAGAGGGTCAGGCAATTGTCCAACGTTGACACAGCTGGACAGATGAGGAGGACACAGTCTCTGCTTTTGAGGAGTTCAGACCAGGGGAGCCCATGGTAGCTCCAGATTCCCTCACTGCAGCTTTTCTCTATAACTTCCAGATCTAGCTTTGAGCTTCCCTACAAGGAGCTGGAGAGACAAGTTGCCTACCTGTGTAGCTGGAGAAGTGGGTTGGCACCACCGAGGTCCTTGGAAAGAGCATGGGGGTCACGGCAGCTAAGGATAAACAGTCTGGAGTAAGAATGGCGATTCTGAGTGGGGTGTCCTTCTTATCCATCTATAGCCACTGAATGTAGGAAGAACTGGGTAAGACTGCCAGGTCTCCTGGCTTCTTCTCTGCCCCAGGCCCTGGAGTAGGGGGGTCAGTGGTTGTTCACCAGGAGCTCAGATCATATGGTCATTAGGGCTGTGGGTACTCACCACTGGGTGTGGGGGCCGAGGTCCAGTGGTTGTAACCTGAAATGAGAAAAGGAGACAGAACTGGAATGCAGGCATGGGAGGGAGGTCCAAGATGTAGACTCAATCCCACCAGCCCCTACCCCCAACAAAGACTTCAAGTCTACACAGATCAACAATTGTGATTCAGGGGTAACTCTTATCTTCTTCCTAAAAGGCTGAGAAATCAAAGATCCAGTCCCCTGTCTTCATGAGCTTACAATTTATTTGGGAAGATAAATATACCAGTGCTTCTAGAAATGGGTTTGCCAACTGTGCTTTTCAGGGTCCTGAAGGGATTTTGAGACGTTGACAGGAAGAAAGATGGCCAGACGCTTGAACTGTCATTGACGGCAGCCCAAGGGATATCCTCTTTCATCAGTCTAGATAAAGACTTTGTGGCCCAGACAAGTATATAAATCACAGCCCTGAAATGCAGGGATACAAAGGGAAGGAGGGGGTTTGCAAACTGGAAGGCCTCTGGGGGTCCTTGACTCATTAGGGGACATTGCTCAGGTGGGAAATGATACATACGACAGGCCCTGTGGCCAAGTGGAGAGCCCACATCCCTTCCTGGGGGCAGATTCTCTGCTTCAACTGGTGGTTACAAAAAGGTTGCTCACCATTGACACAGAGGCTGTTCTTGTCCAGGGTAAAGGAGCCCAGCTGGGTGACACCATGGGTCTGCTGGCTCAGCTCCCAGTACAGCTTCTCTCTGTTTAGCTTAGGGCCCGCAGGGTCAGGATGGTAAGTACAAACAGCATCAACTCCGGTAGCTATTCCCTTTTTCTCAGGCCTGGGCGGGGAATGACATGGGAAAGAGAAGGTGGGGATTCCAGACAAGGGTCCTGAAAAGCCTCCCTGAGGGAGGGGACAGTGAAAGCTGGAGGACTGGTGGGCAACCTGGAATGGCCTTGGTACTGGAGGGGGATTGGAAATGAATAGGACGACCAAGGTCCCAGAGCACAGAGGATGCAGCATCTCCGAATGCTGATGTTTGTGCTGAGATCTGAGATGAAAATCATAAAAAGTCAACATATCCACTAACAGGCGCATGATGGAGGAGACTCAGACAAGGTGAAGAAAAAAAAAAAAAAGCAACGTCAAGTTGCTTAAATCCCAGCTCTGCTGTTCAGTTGCTGGGTGACTCTGAGTAAGTCTCTCATCCTCTCTGGGTCTCATTTTTTTCATCTATCAAATGCAGGACAGACCTCATAGCACTAGTGAGTACTCAAGAAAAGATAGCTATTTTTATTAGGCATTAATAGGTCCAAAGTTTTGGTGTGAATGGACCTTGCAGTGAGAGAGACTGAGCCTTTTGAAAGAAACAGTGAGGCCAAGCAGCCAGCCTAGGGTGGAGATGGGCATGAGCCTAAGCGGCATCCCAGAGCCAGAGAGATCTCAAGGCCAGTGGAAAGGGAAGGCACAGCATCATGGTGGAGAATAGTGGCGTCTTTGGAGCTGAGGGCATTCCATCCTCAGACAAAAGGCCAGTGACTGGGAAATCTCACACAAGAGCTAAGGTGACCCGAGTGTACACGTTGGGAGTATTCTCAGCACTTTGGTCTAGGAAAGGTCATGAATAATTCACTACATGGTCTCTATATGTTAGTTCCTTTGCTAAGCACCTTCCATTTTGATCCTCATTACGCTCACACAACTGGCCACAAATTCTTCAATCAGAAGTGGAGTCTGTTTCTCCACCTCTTGAATCTGGACTTGGCCACAGGACTGGCACTAGCCAACGGACATTCACAAGGCTTGGAAAGCATGTACACAAAAGGGCTTGTCATTTATTGCTGCTCTGGGGACTCTGAGCATGTGAATGAGCCCAAGCTAGCCTGCTGGAGGATGAGACAACACGGGGGAGAATCAAGGTATCCCAGCCAGCAGCTGACAGCAGGTGCAGGAATGAGCCTTGTTTGAGATCAGGTGAGCCAGCTTAGGCAGGAGAATCTCCCAGCAGAATCCCAAACAAATCACCATCCAAAAGAATCACTGACTACATTTGTTGTGCAAGGAAGCAAACTGAGACACTCCAATTGATAGGTGAGGAGGCTAGGCACAGAGATGCTAAGTAACTTGGAGAGGTCACACAGCCTTGAAGTAGGGGAGCTAGGCTTGTCAGACTCTAGCTAAAACTATATAACCACTGTACATACTACTCAGTGATCCCAAGTCTACTTCTGAGAGGTCAGAAAGCAGGACTTGGTCATTGCCAGGGGACAGTATAAGGGAGGGCTGGCTAGGTATTCAGGGCAAGTCAATCATTAGCTAAAATGTGACATAAACAGGAGAGAGAATCATGCATCCCCTAGAGCAAGGTTTCTCAACCTTGGCATTGTACATATTTTGGGTCAGATCAATCTTGGCCCTGGGAGACTGTCCTCTGCCTTGTAGAATCTTAAGCAGCATCCCTGACCCCACTCGGTAGATGTCAGTAGCAACTTCTACCCTTGAGGTGTGACAACAGATAATGTCTCCAGACATCGCTGCCCTGGGAGGGAAATCACTCCTGGCTGAAAACTAGGGCTCTCTTGTGGTAAAGCCAGCATGACTGACTAGTTGTTTTCTTGATGGGTCCCAGAAGGATGATCTTTCTGAAAAGTTCAACCTTGTCACCTGGGAAGGAGAGTCTGAGAGGATCCTGCATTTTCTGGTTAGAAACACAATGTGACACAGATGGGTCAAGCTGTCCCTGGGAAGGTGGCCCAGCTCATGGTGCCCCCCAACTCCCTACACATTGCCTGCATGTGGACCCTGGAGTTCTCACCTGAGCAAGGTCAACCTGCAGCCATAATAGAGAGGCCCAATACTGCTGTTCTGGAACAAGGGTTTGAGCTGGGGATGAAAGACGTGTGGGTCAGTAGACAGGCCGAGGGGCTGGGCAGAACAAAAGTGGGCACTGGAGGGTAGGCATTGGGGGGACTTTCACCAGACGATTCAAGATCCTCTCTGTGGAATTGAATAGCTGAGATCCTGGGGATCCCATGTCCTCTGTGTAGCGCAGGCTGGTGATGGTGAAGTTGAGGGTGAAGGGCACCAGAGACAGGCTCACACCTGCAGCCAGAAAGGGAGAGAGCGGGTTCACTATGACCTCTGGCTGGGATGGCTGTAAGCGGCAGATCCAGGGTTATCACCCCGTCTGTGTCAGCTTTGCATCCAGCCAGACTTACAGATGGGGAGGGGCCTCTCTACGGGATGGATGCTTTCCACCTGATGTTTCTAAAGGCAAACCTTTGGTAGACATTTTGGGTGGGGGGTGGGGAGGAGAGGAGCAGAGTCACTCTGCTGCCCCCTGGGGGTGGAGATCTTGCACAGTCTTTTTTTTTTTTTAAACTTTTATTTATTTTTTTAAATTTTTCAGTGTTCCAGAATTCATTGTTTATGCTCCACACCCAGTGCTCCATGCAATACGTGCCCTCCATAATACCCACCACCAGGCTCACCCAACCTCCCACCCCCCGCCCCTTAAAACCCTCAGACTGTTTCTCAGAGTTCACAGTCTCTCATGGTTCGTCTCCCCCTCCAATTTCCCTCAACTCCCTTCTCCTCTCCATCTCTTCTGATTTTGCCATGAGAGAATGTGCGGCTGCTGGAGTGGTCAAGCCTGTTCCCTGTGTGAGTGACTTCTGCCTTAGTTCCATTAAGCCATCTTTGGAGATTGGAGTATAGGTGGACTGATCACATCTCCTGGTGTCCCCTGGACAGTCATATGGCTCTCATATAAATATTAATTTCAACCTTCCCTTTCTTTGTCAAAAGTGTCCCCCAAACCAATGAAACAAACAAAAAACCAACTATATGGTCATCCTGGGGTTAGGGTATGAAGAATCCAAAGGCCACAGGTCTGAACCTGTGGGATGAAGAATCAAAAGGCCACAGGTCTGAGTGACTATACCCTTTACAAATTTCATCTGAAGAACACCAGTTGTGTGCTAGCCTTTGTACCAGGCACTTTATCTCAGTTTACCCTCACCACAATCCTGAGAGTGATCCCCAGGAAGGGCTAGTAGAAAGTCCACACAGAGGTTAGGACACTAGAAGAACAGACAAGTATCTGATGTGGCCAAAGCTTAGAGATTGAGAAGACAGTGAGTAGAACAGGCTGAGGCCAGGTGGCTGAGGGCAACCAGACCATGGAGAATTGAAGTTTCACAGGTCCCAGAGAGCAGACTCCTACCTGTAGAGCTGAGGGTGGGGGACAGAGTTGTGGAAGATTCGGGAGAGAATGTGGAAGTCACTGGAGCTGAGAAAAAAGAATATGGGAAAAATTATTAAGTCTCATCCTGAAGGAATGTGGACAGAAGCTGTTCATTAGAATTTGGGCTTTTGTTTGGACTCAGAGCAAAACCCTGGGTGGGTTGGGGGCTCCTCTGAGTCTGTGGCTGGACACTTAGGGAGGGAGCATCGGCAGCTTCTTTCCAGAAGAATGTGCTTTGGGGAATAAGGGTCCACTGGGCACTGAAATTTCACAGTCTCGAATACTCACTGCTGGTGGTAGGGGTCCAGTACCGATGGTTATAACCTGCAGAAAGGAGTAAAGGGCTGTTATAATGGGTAAGAGTTAAGAAGGGTGTAGAAGGTAGACCTAGAGACAAAATTCATTAACAAACTTGCTGAGATTTATAAATGAACAATAATGGCTACATTTTATTCCATGCCCTTATGTGCTTTGTCCTTTGCAAATAATGATGAACATCATCACTGTTATTATTACCAAAAGAAAAATACAATAGTAGAGCTGTCCCTATTTATTGGGAATGTACTATGCACCAGAAATAACACTAAACAACACACAACAAGGAAATGGGGAAAATTTACAAACAAGTGTGTTCATGTCCAAGTCTTTTTTTTTTTTTTTAAATATTTATTTGACAGAGAGAGAGATCACAAGTAGGCAGAGAGGCAGGCAGAGAAGCAGGCAGAGAGAGAGGGGGAAGCGGGCTTCTCGCTGAGGAGAGAGCCCGATGTGGGGCTCGATCCAGGACCCTGAGATCATAACCCTGGCCGAAGGCAGAGGCTTAACCCACTGAGCCACCCAGGTGCCCCTCATGTCCAAGTCTTATCCATGTCCTCTCAATCCACAAAAATAACTTAATCCTTGCTCTCTCAGCTTCCCGCCCTTCACTAAATTTTATAATAATATGACTTTGTCTTTCCAGCTTAATTTCTGGGTTTTCTTTTGTGTGTGTGATGTAGAAGTTGTAAAGTTGTGGCAGGTTGAGAGGGTGGTCTGTGGAGGGGAACAAGATAGAGGAGGGGGAATGTATGTGTGATTTGCAATATTAGAGGAACTTTGGAAATGGACTAGGAGAATGAACATGAGAAGAGAATTGGAGGTCAGATGGATGGTATAAAAATTGGAGTCTGAAAAGAATTGGGGAAAAGAGAATTTTTCATGAGTGTTTCTCTGAGTCATGGTCATCTTGGATGCTCTGTGAGTGGTGGGAGTAAAGACCGGACCCAGAGGGACCCTGTGATTTACTTGGGTTATTCCTGAACTCCCTCATTTTGCCACCAGGACAATCCTGCATGGTATGTGTATTTGTTCCATTCTGAAAATGTGATATTAAAGCCTTGAGAGGTTGCAAAGCATGTCCAGCATCACATAAAACAGAGATCTGTCACTCACCAATCCTCACACTGTTAACCATTGCTTTAAGGAAATCTCCAAGTTGATACAGAGGAGAAATAACTAATCAAGCATTAGATTAGATTGTTAGGCTAGAGGTCATTCATGTCCTTTATTGTCCTGAGATTGGAGGCTTTCTCTATCTGCATGGTCTGCAGTGTTGCCTTGTGGCTAGGAACTTGGGGTATAGAATCAATCCTGGGGCTGTTTGAATCTTGACACTGTCATGCATGATGGCTAAATTATCTCAGGCAAATGACTTCCTGTCTGAATGCAAATTGGCTCTCTCAGCAAAAATGGCTATAAAAACTCACAGAGTTTTGGGTAAGATTAATAGGAGATAATACAAATGAAGATTTTATCACAATTCCTGGCACATAAGAATGTTCTGGTAAGAATTAGCCACAACTGGGGCGCCTGGGTGGCTCAATGGGTTAAGCCTCTGCCTTCGGCTCAGGTCATGATCTCAGGGTCCTGGAATCAAGCCCCACTTCTGGATCCCTGCTTTTCCTTCTCACTCTTCCTGCTGCTCTCCTGCTTGTGTTCTCTCTCTGTGTGTGTCAAATAAATAAATAAATAAAATATTAAAAAAAAAAAAAAGAATTGGCCACAATTATAGTTACTCTTCTCACTGTTAGCATTGCTCTTAGGAGCATTGTGGCCAATGAGGTTGTGTACGTGGTTATTACTCATGGAGGACGTGCTCAGTATGACGTTATCTCATGAAGTGTGTATAGCTCTGACTGGCCTGTGGGAACTCAGAATACTGGTTGTCAAGATGGAGAGAATGACATGGGGTGAGGGCCAGCATGGTCCCCTGCTGCCCATTCAGAAACCTTAGCCACAGAGTTCTGCATCACCCACTTCTTTTTTTTTAATTTTTAATTTTTAAAATTTCTTTTCAGTGTACCAGAATTCATTGTTTATGCACCACACCCAGTGCTCCATGCAAAATGTGCCCTCCATAATACCCACTACCAGGCTCACCCAACTTCCCACCCCCGCCCCTTCAAAACCCTCAGATTGTTTTTCAGAGTCCATGGTCTCTCATGGTTCATCTCCCCCTCCAATTTCCCTCCACTCCCTTCTCTCCATCTCCCCATGCATCACCCACTTCTTTCCTTGGAGTCTGTACACTCCAGTTAGGCTCCTCTGGGAAGCAGTGGAAATAAGGAGGAAGAAAGATGTCATCCAGGAGGTGAAAAGAGAAAGGAAATCAGCTTCTCATGGTTTGTTAAGCACTAAAAAATGAGTCCCCAAGGAAAGGCTAGGTTTGTTGGGGCACCTGGGTGGCTCAGTGGGTTAAGCCTCTGCCTTCGGCTCAGGTCATGATCCCACGGTCTTGGGATTAAGCAGGGAGCCTGCTTCCTTTCCTCTCTCTCTGCCTACTTGTGATCTCTGTCTATCAAATAAGTAAATGAAATATTAAAAAAAAAGAAAGGCTAGGTTTGCATCAGAACTATATATACATTTGTACACAGCAATTTCTCAAACTCAGCATTATGGACAATTTGGCTTCGTTAATTCTTCATGGTGGAGGGCTGTGTTATGTATTGTGGGATGTTTCGCAGCACCCTGGTATCTACCCACCAGATGTCCCTGGTACCACTCCAATTATGACATGCCAATATCAATATCTCCAGATATCGCCAATATCCCCCGGGGAGCAGAATCAGCCCAGTATATGGTGTACCGGTATAAGGAAGTGTGGGACTAGAGACCCCAGCTGCAGCACAGACACTCACCATTGACATAGAGACTGTCTCTGTCCAGGATGTAGGTGCCCAGCTGCGTGACACTGTGGGTCAACTGACTCAGCTCCTGGTACAATTCTTCTCTGTTCAGCCTGGGGCCTGTGGGGTCAGGATGGTAGGTGCAGATGGCATCCACTCCAGTTGCTGCTCCATCCTTCTCAGTCCTAGGGTGGTGGGACATGGGAATAGAGGCCTCCTGAGATGTGGGAGACTTATGTGCTTCATTCGTCTCTCACCTTCAGGTTGCTGGCCCCGGCCCCAGTCTTGGTTTGATGATTTTTTTTTTAACTGGGTCTTGTCTGGTTCCTCATATGCATTCTTTTCTGGGACCTGTTCATCTAGGATGAGCCAAACATGTGGAGCCAAACATGTGGAAGCATCCTGGACCTTCCCCTGTCCTTGGTCACCCCCCACCCCCACATCGAAGCAACATCCAGGTCCAGCTCAACATCTCACTGGTTTCCCCACCTCTCGTCCCATCCTCACATCAAATTTTCTCATCCCTGTACCTACCAATGCACTACTTAAAATAAATGACATCACATCAAAGCTCTGCTCACAACTCCATGGTTGACCACAGATCTGAGAGAGATGCCACCCCTTGAAATACCTTTGCCAAAGTTTCTTCTGGCGAATGCTCATTCAGCTCAGGCATTACCTTCTCAAGACTGTCTCCACTTAGCTCCCTCACAATGAGCTAAAGGTCCATCCTGCAGGTTCCTATGACCTCCACATAGTGCTTTATCATTGTACTAATCCTCTTCCTATTATGGTTTTAAGTCCATATGGCTGCTGTCCTCCCTATACTGTGGGTACCTTGAAGGAAGGGCCTGTGACATTGGTGCCCTTAGCACCTGTCATAGGACATGGCCTCAGTACCTCATTTCATGTCTGCCCAATGAGTCAGGGCTGACCTTTCTGGCCAATGAGTATGAATGTTCCATGGCTCTGCTTCTCCAAGTAATTTAAGACCTTTATTTGACAGCCACCTCTTTCAGGAAGCCCTCTCTGATACACTCAGGCAGAGGGCATGCCACCCATCTGAATTCCTGGAAGACCCCAGTCATTTATGATTCTTCTAGTTGCTATGTTCAGGTCTTTTCCTTCAGGTGAACTTGCCTGTGACAGTGCAAGCCTTCGTGTTGTAAGGGAGGGAAGTCTCACCTGAGCAAGGACAGTCTGCAACCAGAGTACAGTGGGCCAATACTGGTGTTCTTGAACAAGGGACCAAGCTAGGGAGGAAGAAGAGAGAGGTGAGCAGGAGGGCCTGAGATGACTGGGCGGGGGGGTAGGGTAAGGACAAGGCAGACTGGGGAAGGCACTGTCGGGCTCTTACCAGGCGATTCAGGGCCCTCTCAGTGGAGTTGAACTTAATGGAGCCTGGGCGCCTCATGTCTGGGGTGTAGAGCAGGTTGGTGATGGTGAAGTTGAGAGTGAATGGCACCAGGTCAGGACCCACACCTGCAGCTGGAGGGAGAGAGAGGGGAGACCCATCACAGTCTTAGCCCTCACCTGTATATTAGAAGGAGGAGACTAGTGCCGTCTCTCTGTCCATAGTATCTAGTAGGTGAAGCCTGAGATATCCTATCTGGGATACCTTCCCTCCTCAGCTAGCCAAGGGAGGAGAGCTCCATGTTAGCTGTGTCATGTCAGCTCAAAAGGAAACCTCAATCTGCTCATCTCAGAGTGTCCAAAGGCTGACCTGTCATTGACATTTTGGTGGGAAGAAGGGGGGCCAAGACTTTTGTGCTCAGACTTTGGGCCACAAACCCTTGAGCAGTCAAGAAATCCAAACAGTAGTTATTTCCATGAAGGAAGTGATCATAGAGATAGAATAGAGATTAAATCCCATCTATGTGTGGAATTTCCCCATCTATGTGGGGAAATGCTACTCTATAGGAAGAGGTTTGAGCAAAAGGCTGGCCGACCTGAATCTGAAGGACAAAGAGAAATCAGGAACAGAGCTGAGTTGCCATTACAATGAGAGCAAAGGCCCTGAGGATGGAAGGATGCTTGGTCCCTGGAAGAACAGAAATGCGGCTGGTGCGGCCAGAGATGAGGGAGCAAGGGAGATAGTGGGACAGGCTGGGGCTGCATGGGCAGAAGGGTCCAGATGACAAAGGCATTCCCTAACCAGAACAGGAGTTGAACCTTCCTGGGACTCAGAGGTTAGACTCCTACCTGTAGAACTGGGGGTGGGAGGTAGAGAAGTAGGAAGTCCTGGAGAGAATGTAGAAGTCATTGGAGCTGAGGGAATGAAAGAATACAGCATGAATATACATTATTGGGCCCAATCATGAAGGAGTGAGATGATGAGAGGACAGCGCTGTTGACAGGAGCTGGCATCTCTAGTGGGTGGTCTGGAGCTGCTCTGGGGCTGAGAACCTGGGGGATTGTGGGTACTTCCGCCCCAGTCCCTGGGATCTGGTGTAGGGAGGAAGTGTCCTAGGGGTTCACAGACATCTGGGCCCTCATGACTTACAGCTGGTGGTGGGGATCCAGTACTGAGGATTATAACCTGTGGAGAGAGCCAGAGAGGAAGAGTAAGCTGATGGGAGGGGGCTAAGAAAAGTGTGAGGGGTATGACTTGAAACACTCAACATAAATCTTCTCGAGTGCTTTCTCTGGGACTCATCAACTCATTATGAGTTAACTATCTCATACTTCAGTGCTCACATCCGTGTTGTCCTCAAGATCATCAACTGCAAAGACGATGATCAAAATACCCCTCATCTTATGGGGGTTCACTAGGGGCCTGGGACAATATCAACCTCACCAAATGAGTATAGCAACAAAAACTTTATGAGAGTGTTTCCAGCCTTATTTGTGTTTTCTCCGCCAATTAAATATAACTTTTTCCTTGGTCTCTGAGTTTTTCCTACTACCCCACTCTTCAGAGACAGCATGATCTTTGACGTAGTTCCTGGAGTTCTGTAATGTTGAACTGAGATCATGAGTGTGAGAGAGTGAGGCAGACAGGCATAGGCAGGAGTCAACCAGAGAGTATAAAGTTGGAGAGGGAAAGGGAATTGGGGAAAAGAGGGTTTGAATAAGTATGGCTCTGGATCATGGACTAGCTCCTCTCTGATGCTCTGTTAGGAATGCAAGTAAAACTTAGACCTATTTTATATTTGGTGGTATGACAGTGTTTCTTCAAATGAAACTGTTCTTTGAGACTGGACCTAGTAGAAAGAGCCCTGTGGTTTACTTAGATTATTCCGGTTTTTATCTCATTTGACCTTTACAATAATCTTAAATGATGTTTTTTAAAAATTCCATTCTAAAAATAGACAATTGAAGCCTAGAGAGGTTGTGTGGCTTGCCCAGGGCCACAGGATGAGCAAAAAAACAGGACCAAGGCTTAAAGAAAGACCTATAAATCACCCAAACCCACACTGTCAGCTACAGCTCTAAGTTAATCTCGAGGACTATTGAAATATAATACAGGTTTTAATCCAGATAGAAAGACAATGTCAAAGGCAATACAGTGGAGACATATTTAATTGAGCATTACTTTAAATTGTTGTATTAGGGGCTCCTTGATATGCCTTTCCATCCTGAGATTTGAGGCTTGTTCTAGCTGGGTTCATCTGCAGTGTAGCCTAGTAGTGAAGGGGTCTCTTGGGGGCCTTAGAGCCAAATTAGGGTTTGAGTTCTGTTGCTAACACTCCTATTAACTGTCTGATCTTGGGAAAATAGATTTCCCTGCTTGAGCCTTGTTTGCTCCTCTATAAAATACACAAAATATACATAATACCTCATAGAGTGTTGGACAGGATTTGCAAAACATAATATATACAATGTTCGGGATCACAGGCATCCCTCAACAAATATTAGCCTTTAGTATAGGTGTTACTGTGGGCTTGTTACTAAGAGCATTGTTGAGGGATTTATTACTAAAAACATTGCTAACAGATCTGTTGTTTGATTCTTAGGTGGGATACAGTCTGGCTGGCCTCTGGAGGATGAGTGAAGGGCCACAGGCTATCATAACAGAGAGACAGAAGCAAATCAGTCACCACCTTGGGAACTCATAGCCTGTTGGGGAGGAGTGAAACTCCAACAGCCACTATAGGCTTGCTTTACTCTCTTCCTTCCCTGATGGCTTCATGCTCCAGTTGGGTTTCTGTGAAAGGTCACTGCAATGAAGAAGACTATGCAGGGAGCCTCTATTTTCAGACCTTGGAAGTTGTCCTGTGAGCACTAGGTGTTGTATGAAAGTGTTGAATCACTATCCTGTACACCTGAAACTAATAAAACACTGTCTGTTAACTAACTAGATTTAAAAAAAAAAAAACTTAAATAAGATAAAAATAAATACTAGTAGGGAGTTGGGGAAAATTGGAGGGGAAGATGAACCATAAGAGACTATGGACTCTGAAAAACAATCTGAGGGTTTTGAAGGGTCGGGGGGGTGGGAAATTGGGTGAGCCTGGTGGTGGGTATTATAGAGGACACGTATTGCATGGAGCACTGGGTGTGGTACATAAACAATGAATTCTGGTACACTGAAAAGAAATTAAAAAAAATAAACAATTAAAAAATACTAGTAGGACTTAGAGACAAATTAACTGACCATGGAATGTAGTGAAGACAAATTTATCAGCATTCATGAGAAGGGTTGTAACAGAAAAGGTGAGGATAGGCAAAGGAAGTGACATCAGCAAATAAAACTTCACATTAATGAAATTTTCAGAGATAGTTTACCATACTGAAAGCACACAGGGTAAAATGCTAGAATCAGATCGAAACTTAGAAAGTAATATGACAATTCACCCTTGCATAGAAAAAGGTATTCTCTGTATTGTAAATCATGTGAAAAAAGAAGGTTCCTAAGAATTTCCACCCCCTAAAACTTTTCATTCTCAAAGTTTCTAATATTTAAAATGACAGGGTACAGAATAAATATTAGTTTTATAAGAAAGAAAGAAAGGAAGGAAGAAAGAAAGAAAAAGAAAAGGAAAGGAGAAGAGGAAGGAGGAGGAGGAGGAGAAGGGAAGGGGAAGGAGAGGAAAAGGAAGAGGAAGAGGAAGAAGAAGGAGGAGGAGGGGAGGAAGGAGAAGAAGAAGAAGGGGAAGAAGAAGAAGGGGAAGGGGAAGAGGATGAGGAAGGAGAAGAATGAGGGAAGGAAGGAAGGAAGGAAGGAAGGAAGGAAGGAAGGAAGGAAGGAGGATGGAAGGAAGGAAGGCTGCTTTGTTGGTGTTCTGATGGAAGAGAATTTCCCTATGAAAATTCTAGGTTGGCCCAAAACTATGAACACAGGTCCTGAGAAATTTCACTTCAAGGAGATCCCATCTGGGGCTCAGGAGGAGACTCCAATAGCAATGGAGGTACTCACCATTGACACAGAGACTGTCCCTGTCCAGGGTGTAAGGGCCCAGCTGAGCGACACCACGGGTCTGCTGACTTAGCTCCCAGTACAACTGCTCTCTGTCCAGCCTAAAGCCTGTGGGACCTGGGTGGTAGGTGCAGACCGCATCCATTCTGGTGCTTGTTCCATCCTTTTCAGCCCTGGGAAAGGAAGGACACGGGAATAGGGATGTTCCGAGACACTTGAGGTCCGGTCACTCTTGACGATTGTACCCCTTGGTGTTTATGTTAGCGGTCTTCTTGGGGTTTCATCTCCTGTCTCAAACATATCTTTTTCTCTTTTATTTGGGGATCCAGACCTCCCAACCTTAAGTGTTCTCCAGGGCTACTCTGCACCTAAGTTTCTTCTTTCATTTCCCAAACCTTTTATTAATTGGTTCATGCTCATTGTTTCAAGTACCAGCACCTAGTACAGTCCCTGTCCACGCAAGAATGTAAGTACAGATAGCGTCCTCTCCAGGAGCTGAGTCCTGCTTGGGCCATAAGATTGGGGGTGTGTAGCTCCCAGGGAGGAAATGAGAATCCTGAGCCCCAGGATTCCCAGCATGTGAAGGGAACAGCAAAGGACAGAAGACCTTGGAGGAGGTGAGTGAGGCATTTGTGACATTGTGCAAGAACCATCATGGAGCCTGAAGGGAAGACTTTGTTTCAAGTTGGTGGATCCCAAGGCTGAGGTCAACCCCTTAAGAGCACCTTTGGAGTAGGCAACCAAGTTTAGAGAAAAACAGAGAAAATGAATTAAGAGGTGAGGAGGGACAATGTGGTTCAAAAATACTTAAAAATTTTTTTTTATTTTTTAAAAGATTTTATTTATTTGACAGAGAGAGAGAGAGAGAGAGAGATCTCAAATAGGCAGAGAGGCAGGCAGGGGCTGGGGGAGCAGAGAGCCTGCTGAGCAGAGAGCCCAATACAGGGCTATATCCCAGGACCCTGAGATCACGACCTAGGCCAAAGGCAGAGGCTCAACCCACTGAGCCACCCAGGAGCCCCTCAAAAATACTGTTCTCCTGAATTTAAGCTGAACCTATAGTGATTGACCCAAAGCAGGGACCTTACGGGAAGAAAGACCCTCTTTTTCCTTTGCCTGGGAATTCTTGCTATTGTCCATGCTATTTAAAGCATGGTTCTCAAAGTGTGGCCCAGGGACATTATTGTAACTTTTATTCTCTCAGGAGTATACTGTGAAATGTTCTCCAGAGGCCACAAAGTGAAATACTACAAATACTAAATGCAGAAGTAGATATCGTACTGTCTTTTCCTAAACCAGACATTAAAAAGATCTGCAAAAAATGTAAACAGTGGCTCTCTTCTTGTTGTGCTTTTTTTGTGGGGGGGGTGGATATTGCTATTGTTCATAAAAACTGTTATTTGTGTTAACATGTGATAGATTCATTACTTTGAATAAATTAATGAGTACATATTTATAACATTTGTTTTAATTTCTAATTCAGTAAATACGAGCAAATATAACCCTCAAGTCCAAAGGCTCATTGGAGTTTTGAGTCCTTTTAAGGATGTAAGTAACATGTTGAGCCCAGTGACTTTGAGCACCACTGTATTGTGGTTAACAAGAGAGACTCAAAAACTAGAACCTCTGGGTTCAAATCCCAGCTCCTCTCAAGGAAACTACTCTGAGCCCCAGTGTTCTGTTTTTACAATGTGAGATAATACTCATGTTGTTGTAAAGCTGAAATGGATGAAAACACGTACATCACTTAGATTGGGGGGGCATTATCATATGGGTAATATTATCTTATTGGTTCCCCCGTCTCATGGGGAGATGGGGGCAGGTGAGGTGGGTGGAGCTCATTTAGGATGGGTTTGGTCTACAATATTCCAGGGACCTCTTCTCGTGAAGCCCCGTGAGTAGAGGACCCACCTCTCCGGCAGGATGACCGGTACTGGCTGAATGCAGTATCCCAAGGAGAGGTCATAGGGTTGTGACATGTAAGGAAAGAATTCTGAGCCCACTGACCTCAGAGGACGCCAAATGGGAACAGGCAGAGAGGAGAAAACAGGCCATTTCTGTAGGGTTCAGGTCTATTTAGGGCTTTTAAAATTGCAATATATCCTAAAAACAACACTTGGTTTGTTTTCCCCTTTGGTTCTACGGAACATCCTCTGGGAAGGTCCCTATCTCTTTTCAAGGAATATACTGCAGAATTGAAGTGTCCAGAGTTTGTCTCCAATAGGGTAGATAGGAGCTGGGGCAGGGAGAGTGTCAGGGATTCTGGGGACATTGTTGGCAAAGATACTACACTGGCTAATACTATGAGATCCCACGGAGTGTTCACAATTGGCCAGGCATTGTGATGAATGATTAATAACCCCAATAGTAAGGTACTAGTATTACCACTACTTTGTAGATAAAGTGATTGAAGAACAGAGAGGTTATGCAACTTGCCCATGATCACAGACCTAGCAAATGGGGGAGCAAGGGTTCAAACCCAGACACTTTGGATTCACCTTGATATGCTGCGTCTTGGCATAAGGCCCAAGGCCGTGGTTGACTGGGATGTGAGGGAGCAAGAAGAGAGAGAATTGGGTTTCCCTAGGTGCTTTGGAGGATGCCTTACCTGAGCAAGGTCAGCCTGCAGCCAGCATAGAGGGAACCAATGCTGCTGTTTTTGAACAAAGTCCTGAGCTGGGAACAAAGGAGAGGGTGATGAGCTGGAAGGGCCAAGACTTTGGGGTGTGGCAGGCTTGGGACAAGGTAAGCATTGGCAGGGGGCTCTCACCAGGTGCTGCAGGTTTCTCTCAGTGGCATTGAATATCTCAGAGCCTGAGTTTTCCATGTCCTCTGTGTAGTACAGGTTGGTGACGGTGAAGTTGACAGTAAAAGGAATCAAGAAAGGAACTGCAGCTGTGGTGGTGGGAAGAGAAAATGAGCCCAGTCCTAAGTCAGGCCTGGGCTGGGGGTGGAAGGGAAGGCTCCAAGGGCACATGTTAACTCCAGCACAGAGCTGGGGTTTGGCCTAGACTGGCCTGCTGTTCAAGACCCTCCCACATAGGGTGAGCAACCATCCCATTTTTCCCAGTATGACGTGAGTTCCTGGGATGCCGACGTCCAGGTGGAAAAGTGACACAGTCTTGGGAAACCAGGATGAGTTGGTCACCCTACTCCCACTTCCCCTTCACTCTTACCATTTCAGTACACAGTAGCATCTGCCTCTCTTCAACTTGGGGGAATGAACAGGCCCAGGGAGTACCCCCACTAGCAATGATTGATGGGAGTTGGTGGGTAAACACCCCAGCTCCCTTATTCGCCCCCCTCCCCCTGCAGAGAGGATGACTCCAGAGTTCCTGTTCTACACATTCTCCCAGGGGCCCCTCCAGCCTCCAGAACTGTTAAATTTCTGATGTTCAAGGTACCCAGTGTTTGGAAGTTCATTACTGTTGCCCTAATGAACTAATACATCACATGACTGAGCAGTTCTTTCTCTAGGTATGCATCCCAAAGAACTGGAAACAGGGGCTCAGATACGTGCACACCCACATTCATAGCAGCATTATCTGCAGTAGCCAAAAGGTGGAAACAGTCTGAGTGTCCATCAACAGATGAACAGACAGATAAAATGTGGTCCATCCTTACAATGGGATATCATTCATCTGTAAACAGAAATGAAGTTCTGATTTCTGATACACACTATGACATGATGACATTGTGCTCAGTGAAATAAGCCACACACACACACACACACACATACACACACACACACACTGTGTGATTCCACATATACGAGATATTTAAAATAGGCAAACTGACAATAGAAGTGAATTAGAGTTACCAGGGGCTGAGAGGAGTGGGGAAGGAAAGCTAAAGTCTAATGGGTACACAGATCCTGTCTGGGGTGAAAAAATGTTTTGGAGAAAGATAGGATAATATTTATACAACACTGTGAATATAATTAATGCCACTGAACTGTACATTTAGAATAGCTAATTTTATAGTGTGTGTGTGTATATATATATATATATATTTTTTTTTAATATTTTACCACAGTAAAAAAAAAGTAATTCTTACCTGTTTCTGAAGTCACACTCAGAGAGGTCATGGTGGATGTCCCAGGTGAGGTCTCAGGGACAAAGGGACTTCCTGCTGATGTACTGAAGGTGGTTGTGTTCTCTGCCATGATGGGGCCTGAACCTGTAGCAGCTACATTGGTGGTCTCAAGAGTTGTGGTTTTCAGGACAGTGGTTGAACTCAGTCCTTCTCTGTGACCAGTTTTCGGTGGTGTTGGGGTCTCTGATGCTATCAGAGTCACAGTTTTGGACAATTCAGGGAGTCCAACTGAAGTCACAGGTGGTGAGGGTTCACCAGTGGTTGCAGGGGTACTGACAGGCCCAAGAACACCAGGAGTCAAAGTTGGGATACTGGTGCTGGCATTTGATGGAGGGCTGGGGGCCAGTAAGCCTGTGGTTTCCAGTAAAATGGGGGAAAGAGTTGAGGTTGAAATAGCTGTGCTGACGTTTGTGCCAGGATGGGTGGAAAGTGAGGCTGTTTCTGCAGGAACACCAAGTGAGATAGTTGGACCTAGATCACCTCCACTGGTCTTGGTCACAGGTGTGGTGAAGGATGTTATTTCTGCTGGACTGGGGGAAACAGTCTGAGTTGGAAGAGCTGCACTAATCTCCAGCTGAGGCCGGATGGATAGTGAGGCTATGGTCTCTGGTAAGTGAGGAAAAGCAGTCGAACTAGGAAAATTCGTGATTGTTTTTGTACTGGACTGGGTGACCAATAAGGCTGTGGTTGCTGGTTCACTAGGAGAAAGAGTCAGACTTGGAATAGTCATATCAGCATCTGTCTCAGAACTAGGGGCCTGGGAGGTCCCCATATCTGGTACACCAGGGGAGATGGTTGGATTTGGAACAACTGAACTGACTTCTGCCCCAAGACTGGTGGCTATTGAGTGTGTGGTATCTGGTTCACTTTTGGAAAAAACCAGAGGTGTTGTGGGGACAGAGGTGTTTGGGCTGGTCTCTGCAGAATGGGTGACCAATGAGACTGTTATATTTGGCTTATGTATAAAATCAGTCTGAGTTGGAACAGCTGAACTGGCTTCTGTCCCAGAACGGGTGACCCATGAAGCCGTGGTCTCCTGTTGACCTGGAGAAACAGTCAGAGTTGTAAAACTTGTACTGACTTCTTCCCCAGTACTGGTGACCATTGAGGTCACCAGCTCTGGCACAGTAGAGGAGACAGTTGGAGCTGGAATGGCTGAACTGGTCTGTGCCCCAGAATGAGTAACCATCATGGCTGTGGTCACTGACTCCACAGGAGAAAGATTCAGAGTCGAGATAGCCATACTGGCCTCTTTCTCAGCACTAGTGACCTGTGAGGTCACCATATCTGGTACACCAGGGGAAACAGTTGGAGTTGGAACAACAGAACTGACTTCTGCCCCATGGCTGGTGGCCACTAAGGGTGTGGTATATGATTCACCATGGGAAACACTGGGTATTGTCCTTGGAACTATAGGACTGGTCTCTGCAGGATGGGTGATCAATGAGACTGCTGTTTCTGGCTCCTCAGGGGAAATAGTAAGAGTAGGAGCAGCTGAACTGGCTTCTTTCTCAGAATGGGTGACCCATGAGGCTGTGGTCTCCAGTTGACCTGGAGAAACAGTGAGAGTTGTAAGAGTTGTACTGCTCTCTGCCTCAGAACTTGTGATCAGTGAGATTTCCACCCCTGATACATCAGGGGAGCCTGCTGGAGTTAGAATGGCTGAAATTGTCTGTGCCCCAGAACTGGTAGCTACTGAGTGTGTGGTATCTGATTCACTATGGGGAAAACTGGGGGTTGCCTTGGGAATAGTTGGACTGGTCTCTGCAGAATGGGTGACCAATGAGACTGCTGTTTCTGGCTCCCCAGGGGAAACAGAAAGAGGTGGAGAAGCTGAACTGGCTTTTTTCTCAGAATGGGTGACCCATGAGGCTGTGGTCTTCAGTTCATGCAGTGAATCAGTCAGAGTTGAGAGAGTTGTATTGGCTTCCACCTCAGAACTGGTAGCCAATAAAGTCACCAATCCTGGCACAGTGGGTGAGACAGTTGTAGCTGAAGGTGAACTGATCTCTGCCCCTGGAGTGGTAGCTGTTGAGAATAAGATGTCTGATTCACCGTGCAGAGTTATTCTGGAAACAGATGTGCCGGTCTTTGCAGAATGGGTGACCCATAAGGCTGTTGTCTCTGAATCATGCGAGGAATCAGTAAGAGTTAGAAAAGTTGCACTGGTCTCTGCCCCAGAATTAGTGACCAGTGAGGTCCCCACCTCTGATACACCAGGGGAGACAGTTGGAGTTGAGACGGAAAAACTGGTCTGTGCTCCATTATGATTAACCCAGGAGACTGTGCTTACTGGTTCGCCAGCAGAAAGAGTCAGAGGTGAAAGAACCTTACTGGCACCTGTCCCAGAACTAGTGGCCTGTGAAGTCACCATGTCTGGTACACCAAGGGAGATAGGTGTAGTTGGAGCAGCTGAACTGGCTTCTGTCTCAAGGCTGGTGGCTGTTGAGGGCATGCTGTCTGATTCCCTATGGGAAACATGGGGGGTTGTCCCGGGAACTGTTGGGCTGGATGTTGCAGGATAAGTGACTAAGGAGACTGTTGTATCTGATTCATGCAGGGATTCAGTCAGAGTCAAAGAGGTTGTACTGGCATCTGTCCCAGAACTAGTGACCTGTGAGGTCACCATATCTGGTACACCAGGTGAGACAGTGATTGTTGGAGTGGCTGAACTAGCTTCTGCCCCAGGAGTGGTGGCCATTGAGAGTGTGGTGTCTAGTTCACTTTGAGAAAAATCCAGAGTTATTCTGGAAACAGGTGTGCTGTTCTCTGTGGAATGAGCCCATGAGGCTCTTGTATTTGGCTCACCAGGGGAAACAGTCAAAGCTCCAACAGTGGAAATGGCTTCTGTTCCAGCATGGGTGACCTGTGAGGCTGTTGCCTCTAGTTCGTCAGTCAGAGTTATAAATGCTGTACTGGCTTCTGCCTCAGAATTGGTGACTGGTGAGATTTCTACCCCTATTATACTAGGGGAGATGGTTGGAGTTGGAATGGCTGAACCAGTCTGTGACTCAGGACGTGTAATCAATGAGACTTTTGTATCTGGCTTACCAGGAGAAATAGTCAGAGTTTGACCAGCTGGGCTGGTCTCTGCTGCAAAACTAGCATCCAGTGAGGTCACCAGCCCTGGCTCACTAGGGAAGACATTTGGAGTTGGAGTGGATGAACTGCTCTGCACCACAGGATGGGTGACCCATGAGGCAGAGGTCTCTGGTTCATCTTGGGAATCAGTTAGAGTTGAAATGACCATACTTGTCTCTGCCCCAGGACTTGTTACCAGCGAGGTCACCATTTCTGGTACACCAGGGAAGACAGTCAGAGTTGGAACAGCGGGACTGTTCTTTGCCCCAGAACTAGGGACCAGTGAGGGTGTGGTTTCTGACCCTCTGTTGAAAACAGATGAGGTTGTCCTGGGAAGCTCTGTGCTGGTATCTGCTCCAGGTCTGGTGGCCAGTGAGGCTGTCATCTCTAGAACATCAGGGGAAACATCTGGGGTTGTAAAGATCGTTCCTCTTGTGCTTGTGCTGGCCATTTTACCTGATGTCCTGAGGAGAGTCAGCATTCCGGAAGTGGGAGTAGAGACTGTAGTGGTCAAAGTTGCTGTAGAGGTGGTCTTCAGAGCTGTGATTTCTGTGCTTTCTGTCCACTCTGTTGGTGGTCCTGTGAATTGGGGGATGGACACACAGTTTAGACAAAATGATTGCCACTTATCAGACTGGCAAGGACTTATTTTTTTCTCCAAATGAGGAAAGGGAGAGAAATGTCTCTGCCTGAGATATGCACGTAATGCTTCTGAGATGGGAAGAGGAATTGTCATTGACCTTCTCGCACCTTCCCCTTCTCCTCTTGTGCAGTAACTCTGTGAATTCTTAACCACTCCTTATTCCCAAACACTGTCTGTACTCTACAGCCCCTAAGCCTTTGTTCAGGCTGTTTTCTCTGTCTGCCTTGTCCATCTTTCATCAGATTCCTTACATTCTGCCCTTCTAGAAACCCTAACTCAAATCAACTTTCACAAATCCATGTCAGAATTCATCTCTCCCTTCTCAATATTTCCTTACCCTACTGTCTGAATCTGCACCATAGCACACCTCACAGTCTGCTTGGTAACAGCTATTACTAGCCAGAAGACTGCTTGGCATATAGTAGGTGGCCACAAATATTTGTTGAGTGAGTATGTGAATGAATGGTTACATGGATGGTTGTATACAGAGACAGGTCTCTGTGGGCTTAAGAGAGATCATGTGTCATTGTGCTTAAGAGCTTGGGCTCTTAAGAAGAAGGTAGACCTGCACTTAGCTTCTGGCTCCTATGCTAACTCGATGTGTTACCAAACCTTGCTAGATTTCCATATTCTCATCTGTGAAGTAGGTATAAGCACAGTGGCTATCTCAGAATGCTGATAATAATGCACCAAATCCAATGCCTGCTGGCTTGCAACATACTACCACCGCTACTTCTACTATTACCTGCTGTTACTGCCATTACTACTGTCACTGCTAATACCTACCATTACTACTGTTACTGCTCTTCCCACCCAGGACCATTGTTACTACTGCTACTTTTATCTACTGTCACTGGAGTTATTACTACTGTTTCTACTACTATTACTCCCTTTTTGTATTTCCACTACAGAATAAGTGTTTGCTGAGTCATATTTGCCAGGAACCACGCTAGACCAGTATTAAAGCTGGCCAAGGTGCCTGGAATTCAGACTCTGAAAATGAGTAAACTTACATTGGCTGAGAAGCAACTACTGACTGGAGGTTCAAGTAATGGTAAATAAAACACATTACCCTTTAAAATATATTTTTAAAAATGGTCCCCAGAAAGGAGGGAGAACCACCAGGAGGCTTCTCTATAAAGACCCCAAAGCCCACTGGCACTTGATCCAGGGATAAAATAAAGAGGATTTAGACTCTGATGGGGGAGTGATGTCCCTCTTTTGCTAAGACTATCCTGAACTCTCACATTTCCAAGAGTGGACATACTGAAATGCTTTATATGTATCTGGCAATGAGGAGTGGAAGGAGAGAGGAGGGGGAGGAGGGACATCTACAAGCACCTAGCATGATTTATCTCTTTGATCCTCACCAGAACATTGAATGTACATTATATTATTCTTGTGGTTTCATAGAAGAGAAAGACAGATGCTCAGAGATCTTTATCTGCCAAGGGCACACACTACTGACTGCTTGTGTGGAAATCTGAACATCATTCTGTCTTGCTAAACCAATGCTCTCCAGCACTGTAATATATCACTCCCTAACTGAATCTCAGGATTTTGTGGGGGCCAGGATAAAAAGAGAATGATGTAAGGAGAAAATATCCATCTGGAGAGAAGTTCAAACAAAAATTTCCTAGTTCAGGTTCTCAACCTGGGGTGATTTTGCTCCCAGCAGATACCTGGAAATGTTGGGAGACATTTTTGTTCATCGCAACTGTGTGTGTGTGTATGTGAGGTGCTATTGGCATCTGGTGGGTAGAGGCCAAGATGCTGCTAAGCATCCTATAGTACACAGGACAGTCCACAAGAAATTATTTGCCTGATAGGGCTGAGGCTGAGAAACCCTGCTCTGTGTAGAAAGGAGTCAATGAGGACTGTTAGCCATCTAGATATTGGTCACCACCTGAAACCCAGTGACTCATTTCTTGGTGAACTGATGTAGCCAACCCTATCCATGCCCTACTTATATCCCATATCGTGACCCCAGTGGGGTCCTGATGCGGCCCCTGTGACCCCACACCTAAGGGCTTTCACTTAGCCTGTGGCAGGAGAAGGGGGTAGCCTGGAAGTGTTGAGGGTTATTATCCTAGGATCAAGCGTCCTACAGCCAACAATAGAAGAGTTGGATAAAAAAAAAATGTGCCATCTACTTTACTCCTCAGATAGAACAACACTAGAAGATTTTATTTATTTGAGAGAGACCACAGAGGGAGAGGGAGAAGCAGACTCCCCACTGAGCAGAGAGCTCAATGCAAGCCTCCATCCCAGGACCCTGAGATTATGACCTGAGCCGAAGGTAGATGCTTAACCAACTGAGCCACCCAGGTGCCCAACACTGACATGTTCTATGCTGTCTCCCAGAGCTTCCCAGTGGGACTGACGCTGTTGCCCATAGATACAATTTGCATTGACTTCCTTTCCTTGTCTTCTCCAGTGCTTCCTGGGACCATCCCCCACCTGAGACAAACCATTTGCCCCATACCCTTAACTCAAGTCTTCTTCTGGGAGATTGAACCAAAGATGGCTGGGTCACAGGATAAGACTAATCATCTGACTGTGGTGTAGGGGTTAACTGTCTAAAGCCTGCATGTTGCAGAAAACTCCCAAAATGTATAATAGTCTGAGCTCCAAAAATCTTGGGAATAAATTAATGGGTATGGGGAGCTTTACCTTTAACCCCACAGTGAGGAGAACCCCTTGCTATCTATACCTGTACCTCTTAAACTCTTAGGCAGAACAATCACACTGAGAAATGTTAGCAGATGCCTTTTAGAGAGAAAGATTATGGCAGCCAAACAATTGTATAAAACTCAGGGTTGGAATAAAGTTAAACAAATCATTTTACAGTAGGATTTCTCAGAGTCTTTAATATGCTTATGCATATTATGGTTCTTTAAGAAGGAGCAACACGTCTGCCAAACCTATTGATTGATTGATTGATTGATTGATTTATGTTTTGCCTCAAAATTCTTTGTCCTTTTGCTAAAGGATATCCAAGCATTACCAAGCCTTAGGTTTCCTGAATGTTGTTTTCTGCCCGTGTCTCCAGTATCATTTCCTACCACCCCATCCTTCTCCCTCATACTTTAGCAAAGGCGAGTTATTTGTATCTCCCAAATATTTCCAGTTTTACCCCCTCTCTGTGCCTTTGTACATGGCTGTTCTCTCTCTCCAGAATGTCTTCATCAACTCCCTTTGTCTTTCTGGTAAATCCCTAGTCCTCCTTTCAAACCCGATTCAGATATCATCTTCCTCATTAAGCCTTCCTTCTATAGTTCAAATACATCTTCATTGCATATGTTTAAAGTTGCATCATAGTTATTCCGTTCCTTTGTTGCTTCCCTGCTGGTCTGAGAGCTTCATGGATATAGTGCCCAAGTATTTTCATCTGTTCATCCTCTGCTTATAACAGTCTCTAACACAGAGAAAGTGATTAATAAGCATTTTCAGAGTTAAGTTAAACTGGGTCCCATTTGTGGAACTGACATAGCCAACCCTGAACTAAACTCACTCTGCATGTTATGAGGAAAAGAAAAGTGGTCATGTCCACTTGGTAACCATTAGACAAAGATCCAGCTAAGACAGGAAGCCCACGGACACCCCACATGGTTCTTCCTCTAAAGAAACAAACAGTTCCTCTCCCTGGAAGAGGAAGTAAGACCTCAAGTGAAACTACTGGGAAGTAAGCGAAGTTGAACCTACCTTTTGGACTAGCAGATGATGTGAGTGCCACAGACACATGGGCTGGTCCTGTGGCTCCTCCATGGGCTGCCTCATCGGGTTTCTTTGTGATTTGCTCCACAATGCCATCAGTCCCTACAGGTGAGGGTGGAAAAGAAATCTGGGTTAATTCATCTCATCCAGAAGAGTACTGTCCAAATGGATCCACTTAATTGACTATACAACTCAATTCTTTTCAAGTCCAGCTGTATGGGATGGAGCCAGGGCTCTGCGCCACAAATGGCCACCTGTGTCCATTGACCCACTCATCCACCTGTAGATCTGTTCATCTTTCCTTCCATCCATCCCTATATCTACCCATCCATCCTTCCTTCTTTCCTCCTTTCTCTAAATCCATCCTCCCTTCTACACATTTGCTCTCTCTTCTTTCATTTATCTGTCTTTCCATTCTTTCTTTATCCCATCCAACCACTCTTCTACCTTCTTACCCTCTTGCACATCACTTGTTTATGGAACACCCATGACTCAACTACTGAGCCACAGGTTAAGACTTGGATCAATACCTATTAATGTGTCTAATTTTATTGTGAATTGAGAGGTAACCAAGTCATCTTCCTATAGATACTGGCTAGCAAAGCAGGTGCTAAACGAGTTAGAGGACTTCCCTGCACTTGTCTCCCAAACAAAAGCTGGGGGCAAATTCAACTTTTCAGAGGAATGAAATCCTCAAGAGGTTCCCTTCCTCATCTATGGATCTCTTGGAGGTGATGTGCCTCCCTCTAGGCCCCCAGCCCTTCCCACATCCCACAGGTACTTTGTGCCATCATTTTTCTTTGCTCATCTTTTTCTTTTGCTTTTGACTCTGCTTTTTTCCCTTGCTTTTGACTCTGTCCTCAATATAAAAACACACTCAGTTCAAAGTGGGTATCTCCCCTGTATCTATGTGTAATTAGGCTGTAGTTTTAGTTCTTTTCAATGTACACTCTCTCCCTTTCTGAGGGCCCACATGTCAAAGGTCTCACCCTACTTCAATTTGACTATAGTATCATTTGATGGAACTGACCATTTTCTTTCCTAAAGCTCTCTCCTCCTACAGCTTCTGCAATGCCAGAATCTCTTGCATTTTCTCCTTCCTCTCTGACCACTCCTACTTAGCCTAACTAAGAGCACAGATTTCTAGTGCCACATAGTCCGAATTCTTACCATATATTAACTCTATTATCTTGAGTAAATTACTTAACCCTCTGTGTCTCAGCTTACTAATCTGTAAAATGGGCTTATAATCATCCCTTCTTCAAATTGTGTTTCAATGAGGATTAAATAACTTAATAGAACACCTCTTAACAGAGAATAAGTACGCTAGAAAAAGTCTGTTGTCATTAGCATTATCCTGGCATAATCATAGTAACGTTAGAACATCTATCATGGTACTGGAATCATCTACTTGCTTATTTATCTTTGTTTCCCTAATGCCTAGTCCAATGCCTAGAACTGAGGCTAGAGCAACAAACATTTGCTAAAAGAATTTCTGTGCAATTATAAACTTCTAATTAACTCCTTTATGTCTCTCAGGAAAAGAGTCATTTCCTATGAGCCAGTAATAATGGGAGTACAGGAGCTGTGGGACCTTACTTGTCAACTGTGTTGACTGTGAAGGAAGTTGAGAGGCATGTGTCACTGTTCCCAAGTGAATATGCTCTGTCATTCTGGTACCCATAATGGATGATAAAGATGTCCTGACTGGCTCAGTCCACGTCTCCAAAGTACTGGCCACAACCAAGGGTCCTTTGGCAGTGCTCCTCTCTGCCGCAGTGCTGGTGCCCACCATACGTTGGGTAGCGAGTGAGGAAGTAATCCCATGGGGGGCTGGGTTGGTTGAAGAGTAAGCAGTAGTGAAGGTTGAAGAGGGGAATGGTATTGAAGCTGATGAAGGCAGGTTCTCTGCAATGGTGGGCATAGCATCTCCAGGGCCTGGTTCTGTCCTCCAATATGGACTGGTTGAGAAGGTGGCTGAGCTGGCTCCTGGAACTCCAGATGAAGCTGTAGACAAAGAAGGCACCCATGTGTCAGTTGAAATGGTCTCAGATGAGGACAGCATTACTGTACTCAGGTGAGAAGTCTTTTCTGATACAGACATGGAAAGCCTGGGTTCTGGGAAGGAGGCTCTGCCAGCAGACCCTGCAAAAGAGAGAAGCACAACAGGGAGAGAGAGGTTTCCATTGAAATTTCAGCACACTGCTAAGACAAACGCTGGTCTGAAACTCATATTTTCAGAGAAGAGGTGACATCAGTCTTGGAATATTTGAAAACATGAATGGGCAGAAGAGATAAAAGTGTGCTTATGGGAGTGACTGGATGAGAGTCCAGGGATGTGAATGACTCTAGTCCTCTAGAAGAGAGATGGGAAAGTGGCCCTGCCACAAAGTTTTAGGGTCAAAGAAGACAGGTACTGAAGTGAAAATAGGGGTCACCTCCATGGAATAGATAGTATCCATTGGATAAGAGGCTCTGCATGGGTCACAGTGAATGGGGACAGAGGAAGGTGCCTCATACGTACAAGAGCTATTCTGTGCATTACTTACAAATACATAAATGAAAAATTTCACACTCTTTTTATCTGCACTAACATCAAAGGACGCCACTGTTAGAAAAGTAGAGGAAAAACGATTGTGGTTTCAAAGACTATATAACAAAGAAAAAACTGAGCTTTATAGGGACAGAGATGAGAAATGGGGTCAGGAATGGGAAAGGTGTTTAATAACTTATGCTGAGAAGGAATCAAAAGAGAGTAAGTTTGTGGAAGTCATCACTGCCAGAAAAATGAAGGGCAGAGAGATCCTGAATTGCTAAGGAAATGTTGAAAAAGGAAAACAAAACTGGAGGCATCATGTTGCCTGATTTCAAGCTTTACTACAAAGCTATGATCACCAAGACAGCATGGTACAGGCACAAAAACAGACACATAAGACCAGTGGAACAGGGTAGAGAGCCCAGATATGGACTCACAACTTTATGGTCAAATAATCTTTGACAAAGAAGGAAAAATTATCCAGTAGAAAAGACAGTCTCTGCAATAAATGGTGCTGGGAAAATTGGACAGCTATGTATAGTTGAATGAAACTTGACCATTCTCTTACACCATACACAAAGATAAAAACTCGAAATGGATAAAACACCTCAATGTGAGGGAGGAATCTATCAAAATCCTAGAGGAGAACATAGACAGTAACATCTTTGACATCAGCCACAGCGATTTTTTTCAAGACATGTCTCCAAAGGCAAAGGAAATAAAAGCGAAAATGAGCTTTTAGGACTTCATCAAGATCAAAAGCTTCTGCACATCAAAGGAAGCAGTCAACAAAACAAAGAGGCAATCCACGGAATGGGAGAAGATATTCACAAATGGCAGTATAGACAAAGGGCTGGTATCCAAGATCTATAAAGAACTCCTCAAACTCAACACTCAAAAAACAGATAATCACATCAAAAAAATGGGCAGAAGACATGAACAGACACTTCTCCAAAGAAGACATACAAATGGCTAACAGACACACAAAAAAATGTTCATCAGCATTAGCCATCAGGGAGACTCAAATCAAAACCACATTGAGATACCACCTTACACCAGTTACAGTAGCCAAAATCAACAAGACAGGAAACTAGTGTTGGAGAGGATGTGGAGAAAGGGGAACCCTCTTACACTGTTGGTGGGAATGCAAGTTGGTGCAGCCACTTTGGAAAACAGTGTGGAGAGTTCTCAAAAAATTAAAAATAGAGCAACCCTATGACCTGGCAATTGCACTACTGGGTATTTACCCCCAAAGATATGTATGAGTGAAAAGAAGGCCCTATGCACCTCAATGTTCATAGCAGCAATGGCCATAATCGCCAAACTGTGGAAAGAGCCAAGATGCCCTTCAACGGATGAGTAGATAAAGAAGATATGGTCCATGTATACAATGGAGTATTATGCTTCCATCAGAAAGGATGAATACCCAACTTTTGTATCAACATAGACAGGACTGGAGGAGATTATGCTGAGTGAAATAAGTCAAGCAGAGGGAGTCAATTATCAGATGGTTTCACTTAATTGTGGACCATAAGAGATAACACAGAGGACATTAGGAAAAGGAGAGGAAAAGTGAATTGGGAAAAACTTGAGGGGGAGATGAATGATGAGAGATTGTGGACTCTGAGAAACAAACTGAGGTTTTGGAGGGGAGGGGGATGGGGGGTTAGGTGAGCCTGGTGGTGGGTACTAAGAAGGGCATGTACTGCATGGAGCACTGAGTGTGGTGTATAAACAATGAACCTTAGAATACTGAAAAAATAAAATAAAATTTAAAAAAATAATAAAAATACAAAAAATAAATAAGGAAATTAAAAAATAAAAAAAAACAAAGAAAAGTTCGCAGAAAGAAAAAAAAAACTAGCACATGTTAACTCTTTGCAAACATTTATGATGCTAGTGGTCATGAACCCTGTGATAAACCTAATGGCTCTATTCAGAACCTGGTTAATGCACCCAAGATAAGAATATTCTATGACATAGAACAAAGGGTACCTTTCGGGGTAATGAAGCTGATTGTCCCAGGTTCAACACCTAGGGCAGAGGTAGAAAGCCTGGTGTTGATTCCTGTGGGGATGTCTGGTGACATCGTGGACTGAGAAGGGCCAGGGATGGATGTCCTGCTGGAGGAGATGACGCTGGTCCTGGAGGCCTCCATGGTAGTGTCAGTGACCACTACAGAAGGGACAGTCATTTTCCCTGAGGCCATGATGGTGTGCCAGGAGGTGCTGGTGTCCCGTGGTTGTGGGCCAAAGAGAGACGCTGAATGTGTCCTAAACTCTGTGGTTTCAGAAAGGTCAGACATTGGAGTGGAAAATGAGGTGTCCCCACTGAGAGGAGAGGTGACAATGGCAGTGGTGCTTTTCGGTGTCTCTGAGCCCATGGGGGTAGAAGACTGGGACTCCTGTGCAGACATGATTGCGCCCATGTTTGTTACTGTTGTGTTCCCAGAAAGGTAGAGTACCTCGGTAGCAGCAGACACTTCTGAGATTACCTGGGTGTCACCTAAGGTCCTGCTCAAACCTGAAGGTGGATTCGTCACAGGTCCCAAACCTGTGCTCAATGTGCCAGGGATCCCCAGAGAACCAGGTGTGCCTGGTGAGGTGGCAGGGAAGGGTGGAGAAAGGTCCCTGCCTTGTGATGTGGGGGAAAGTCGAGAAGATGACGTCATGGCACTCGAGGGCTCCAGGGGGGATGGCGATGTGGTATTTTGGTCAGAGGAAGGGCTTGTCTGTGACACAACCTCAGAACCCGTGTCCTCGCTAATGATCACAATTGGGTGGGTAAAACCCTGAGTCCCAGTGGAGTGACTCTCAGCCCAGGAGGCCGTGGCTGTTGCATCCGTGGTACTTGTGTGCTGTGAAGTAGCCACAGGGACAACTGTTTTGGGGACCATGGAGATAGCTGTGGTAACGGTCATGTCGGGGTAGGTAGAGAGCCTGGTATAGATTCCGATGTATGGTGACATCGTGGACTGAGCAAGGCCAGGGATGGATGTCCTGTTAGAGAAGATGATGTTGGTCCTGGAGGCTTCCATGGTAGACTCAGGGGACACTAGAGAAGGGACAGTGATTTTCTCAGAGTTCATGATGGTGTGTTGGGAAGTGCCGGTACCCCATGGTTCTGGGCCAAGGGCTGACATTGAATGTGTCTCCAACTCTGTGGT